TTATTTTATAGATATATACTGTACGAATAAGAAAGTGTTTCATTGTAACAAAATATAAAGTAATATAGTTTATTTTTCAATGGTAATTGAATGTAAAATGTTTATTTTCTCTCTTTTCATATATATTTTGGTTTAATCGATTAAAACATAATTGTTTATATGTATGTTTGTTAATTTTTTTCATCAAAATGTAACTTATCATTGAATTTTAGTAAAAATGAGTAGAAAATTATTTCATAAGGTTTAATTAGATCTTTTTTATTTAAATAAATGTGATATATGTCACTCTCTGTTTTCTTATTTATATTTTGTTTATTTAACAAAAAATTATTATTTATGTGTGTTTGGTTAAGTTTATCAACATGTAACTTATTATTAAAGAAAAAAACAATTAATGGATAAATGAAAAAGAATATTTGGATAAAAGAAATGGAAATATTAAAGAAGAGAGAGGTAGCTCCATAAATACATTACTAACTAATTTTTTGTTTGTAAAAAAGTTGTCCAACTTGGTAAATTGTGGATCCCCCAAGTGCTTATGTGGCAAGAAATTTTTTTTGAATTGTCATAATATATTGTATAGATAGATAGATATAACTGAAAATATACCCTGTAACTATGTTGAAGTCTAATTCCTTTCTTTTCTCTGACTTTTCCCCCTGCATAATTGCCTTTCAGAATTGATGATTATTTTTGTGTAATTACCCCTTAGTATTAACAAGAATACAGCCAAATTTGAGAAATTATTTTTCAAATAATTAATAATGATTGAGTTTGCAGAAAGAAAGAATGAGAATTGTTGACTTAAGCATTTTATATTTCATTCTTGAAATTCAACCGAAGCGCGTGCATACAACTATACAAGCAGTGCGATGTGATTATAGTGTTGATCAACGCCTACTGAATGGGAAAAATGAAGGTCCCATTTCAAATTTGTCGCTCATCTACTATATATATAAAGCAGATTCATAACTCACGTCCATTTTGGATTTCTGGCTCTGAGAATGAAGTTGTGCGATGTGATTACAGTGTTGATCAACACCTACTGAATGGGAAAACTGAAGGTCCCAATTCAAATTTGTGGCTCATAGACATAGAGACATTTTCAAGTACAAATATAGTGATCCATTTCAATTCTCATTGTCAAATTTGTCGCTCTTCCTGTCTTTGTGAGTTTGGTGGTTAATACACTATGCGTTTATGTATTTTAATTACATTGGATGGCCTCTATGGATATGTTGTTACTGTAGGGAAAGATAAATCCATCTTTTACCACCAAAAAGATTATTAGCAACGATTTGGAGTGTGGCGTACTCTCTAATAATGTATAAACAATTTATAAGATTCCAAATCATTTAAAATATGAATAACTGATTAACATAAACAGTAAAAGTAAAATAAAATTTATCCCTTCCGACCCAATAAGTCGGGTTAACGATAATATTCAAATATAGTGAGATTGGTTTCATATTAGATGTTAAAAAATATAAGTTACCGACATTTTCTTTGTATAATTAATTTATTGATGGAACATTTACTTATAACTAAACAATTACAAAGGCGTCAGGACGTCCTAACGTTGGCAGTGGGTCCAACCTATGTTGGGGCAACACACATTACCGACGATAGGATTGCAGCACCAACTGCACCATGGAAACTTCCCATCTACATGATGATCTGCCGCACCAGCTGTCGTCTTCTCAAGAAACACATCTCTCGTTGCTGCTTGATCAGTACTGATTCTCGTTGCAATGACCACTTCATTTCCTATATAACAAAGAGAACATATTGTCAATAACAATACGAGTATGTAGTGAATAAGGCTTTGTTCTAGCGGTATTATTGTTGGTTTTCAAATGAGAGATCTCATGGTTAGATTATAGGGCGCCCCTTCCCACAAATCCCCTTCAATAGCATGTAAAAGGAAAATGATTAAAGAACACATCATCAAAGAAAAAACATTTTAAAGTAATTACCGATAATGACGAAATATGTGACTATGAAGAGAAGGAACATGTTGGAGATCTTCATACTTTAAGATTTACTTTGGAACCTATTTTGTTTTTAAGAGAGAATAAATGCTTGTCTTGATAGCTAAATACCACTAGTTGAATTTACAGAGTCCTAGAAAATGAGAGATCTATTTATAAAGATTCAGTTGTAACTAATTCTAGAGTATATATTAACTGACCAATAAATGTAGTTAGATACATTTTCCATATATACAGACAAAAATGAAATCTGGTTTTTAAGTAAGCTAATTAAATATTTGACAAAAAGAGATATAGCATTTATGGTTTATATAAATTGTTGACCTGAGAAAAAGAGAAATGTGGAAGGGCAATCAATGGCTTAATTGATTGCGTGGATTTTATTTTTGGAACCAATTTTGGAACTATTTGTAATTAAAATCTATAACTGACTATTCATGTATCTATATGTCTTATAAATTAATAGGGGTGAGTATTGGGTGGTTGAACCCACAAATCCACTCACAATTGACAACCCATTATCATGTGGGTGTGGGTTGTAAAATAGGCGATTCACAAAAGATTGGGTGAGTGCAGGTGGACTATGGTTGACCCACAACCCACTCAACTTTTTAACCTCAAACCATCGAAGCTCTAAGATTTAGCTGTACTGGAAATGAAACCCTTATCACAAAAAAATCCTCTCAATTTCGATCAAAGTATTGTGCTGTGAGGTGTGCTTAGGCAATTGGAGGTACGCTTAAGCATAACTAGTAGACAAATGGCAGAAAAAAGACAGTTGTCTTCTCAAAATGACACCATCTCAAACTACCACCGATTCGTCCTTCATTCCTTCCATCAATTTGGAATTGTAATTCGACTATAGGTTAAAAAGCTATCTACACTCACAACGCCTAGCCGAATGAGACACTAGGCAATACCAAAATGTTTGCCTTATGCATAGTGCCTTCTTGAACCTTAGTTATTAACTTATTATCAGTCTTAGACCATGTTTATCAGTTGAATATTTTGTAATTTGTGAACAATTACCAATACCAATATTATAAAATAAACGATTCACCTATTTTATGAATTATGCATTATTTAGTTTGAAAATTTCTTTCATTTTAAGTGTAAACTATTGAAATTATGTGATCATATGGAATATATGTTGTGAACCCATCGAATCCATCCAACCACCCATCATCCACAATCACCCAACCCAACCCACATGTAATGCCTGGGTGGGTATAGATTATTTACTCTTTCACCTACCACATGGTGAGTGGTTCCAAATCTATCAAAACCCGCACAAAGCCACCCACTGCTCATCCATACAATACAAACTAATCCATTCATTATTCAGATTCTCCTCTAAAAAAAAAGAGAGAAATGGAAATAGCCAAGCAATGATTAATTCTCACGGTCGAATCCCTAGCTAACCCATGTTATCATAAGGGTACTGCGTCATAATATTCACCACATAACTAAAACTATCATTTCTTAATTATTTTCCCACTTGATTAAACTTCAAAAGAGATCCAAGTGTTAGAGAGTGGCATAAGATCCAGCATAACCTTCTCCCAACAACTCGAGTTATTGGGACCAACTGGTTTATGCCATGGTGTCAGAGCTGGTTTGTCCTTGAGGTCACGTGTTCAAGTCCTCACGACCCCCAATATTAACCGTTGTCTTTCAAGCACTGGTTCATGACATGGTATCAGAGCCTAGAACCGAAAGGTCATGTGTTCGAATCTCCACGACCCCCCAATATTAACCGTTGTCTTTCAAGCACATGGTATGGTGGGCCTGTGCAAACTTCAAGCCCATGGGTTGGCTTTCGTTTGAGGGGGCGTGTTAGGGAGTGGTATAAGATCCAGCATAACCTTCTCCCAACAACTCGAGTTATTGGGACCAAGTTGGCTTTCGTTTGAGGGGGCGTGTTAGAGAGTGGTATAAGATCCAGCATAACCTTCTCCCAACAACTCGAGTTATTGGGACCAATTGGTTTATGACACCAAGTGATAATAAAATTCATTATAGATGATCATAAATATCAATACCAATAATGATAAGCAACTATATCCCTTCCACTAAAACATTTCTAATCGAGTTTTTGCCATATTCAAAAGGAATTACAACTATTGATGGATGTTTTCTCGCCATGCCATTATTTAATCAACCAAACAAGCAAATAATGATAGCTCATTAAGGTTGGCGAGCCCGACAAGTCCATGAATGAGTGCGAGGACATGATCTCGTGATACAAAGAAAGCATCGGCCTGAAACCGGCATTTGAAGATTTTGGTTTTCATTCTCATTCTCCAATCATGTAGCCAAGATTTTGACATGCGCTAACCGAGATAAGCAGGCACAATCTAATAAAGGTTTTTGTAAAAAAATAAAAACTTTCTTTTTAATTTATTATACTCTCTATGACTATGTTGAAGGTTATTTCATTTCTTTTCTATGATTGTTTTTGCATAATTAACTTTTATAATTAACTATCGTTTTTATATGTAAATACCACTTCATAATAATAAAGCAAATAATGTGAAACTATTTTTCAAAAGTTAATAACGATTGTGTTTTCGGAAAGAAAGAATGAGAATTGTTTGTCTGAGCATTTCATATTTCAATTTTGATATTCAACTGAAGCATGCAAAAAAGTAGTGCGGCTACCCCGACATAGTGCAGTCGCCGCGCACAAAGTGAGGTTATCGTGTTAATGTTGAAAATATAGTGAGACTGGTCTTATATTATATGTAAAAAGGATAAATTAGGGGAATTTTTTTTTTTTTTGCATAATTTATTGGCAACACAATTAATTATATCTTAAAAATTCAAAAAGAAAATCAATATCGTCACTACTCACTACGCCCTGACTTCAGCATTACAACCATCTTTTGGGCAAAGGGTACAATTCGCGCAACATAATTTCCCAACGACAGGATTGCAGCACCAATTGCACCATGGCCACTTCCCATCTAAATGATAATCCGCCGCCACAGTTAACCACCATTTCACTGTTGCTGGTGTCATTGTTGTCGTTTTCTCAAGAAACACATCTCTCTTTGCAGCTTCAGTACTGATTCTCGTCGCCATGACCACTTCATTTCCTATATAACAAGGAATAAAATATTATTATTAATTATACATGAGTATGTACTGAACAAGGACTTGTTCTATCCCTGATTTTTAAACTTGGAGGTCCCATGTTTGGATTATAGGGGTGACTTCCCCCCAAAAGACTACCTTTGGTAACGTATAGAAAAATGAAACATTTAAAGTACATCCTTTCAAAGAAAAACATTCTACGGTATTTACCAATGATCATTAAAGATGCGAGAAAGAAGAGAAGGAAGACGTTCGAGATCTTCATACTCTGGGATATAATTTGGAACCTGTTTGATTTGTGGGAGAATTAGTATTTCTGCTAATAGCCTTAATACAAATAGTCACAAGTCACAATAATGTTGAATACACAGAGTCCCGGGAAATTTGAGCTCTATTTATAGCCATTCAATTCAAGCAAATTCTTAATTATGTTCATATTACCAGATATATTTTCCTTAAATACCGACAAAAAATATATCTTGTTTTTAAGTAAACTAATTATGTATTTGACAATTTCTTTTAGATATTTGACAAAAGAGAGATGGTATTTTGTATTTAAGATTTTTCTATATATTGCTTTGGGGTAAATTGCAAGTTTGGTCACTGGAATTACTATAAAGTTTCACGTTTGCCACTAAAATTAGTTTATTCCATTCATGGTCATTAAAACTAGTTCAACCGTTCAAGTTTGGTCACTCTCCGTTAACTTTCACTGATGTGACAGTCAACTTTGATAGTTAACCGTTAAATGAGTGACGTGACAATTAAAAATTATAAAAATAAATTTTTTCCTAATAATTTCCACCTCATTATCACACTAAATTTTAAAAAAGTAATATTATAATTTCCACTCCACTCCCTCGGCGTCACGGAGCGCCACTGCCTTCTCCGATTCCACATCTGCGACTCCGGAAGCTCGAGTCTATAACCAGCTTTCTTCTGAGCCAACTCGGCGGGAATAAGAATCAATCTCCCTCTGAGTTCAATCATTCTAATCTTATTTCTTGCGAGTTACTGCGCAGAAGAGCAGCATCAGAGGGGGATTATGTCGATCGCTTCTTCTTCAAGCGCTGTTGGACCCGCCAATTAAACCAAATGCTACAACGATTAAGTGGAGATAATCAATGGGAAGTTGGCATATTTCAATTCAAAACATATAAAAAGCCAAACTTTATCCAATTAAAGCAAAGATCTGTTGAAATATCAAAGTTTGGGTACCAATTTGTATAATTATCTTCTGTTGTATTGTCTATGTAATTGTGGAACCCTAAGGCAGAACCTATAAAAGGGCCGAGGGTCTTTGCTGTACTGCTTAAGCCGTTTGGCAATTATAGTGAAGATTATTGGAGAGCACAGCCTCTCCCGTGGATTAGTCCTGAACCTCAGGGATACCACGTTAAATCTCGGTGTTCATGTTTGTTGATTCTATAGTTCTTTACATGGTATCAGAGCCTCTGCTCTAAGTTTGGTCATTGCTTTCTTGCGGATTTGGTCGCTGCTGTCGGGGTTGGCTTCACGGCGTTCTTTGTTTGTGGAGTATTGGTTCTTGGTTCTCGACGCGGCGCGCTAGGGTTCCGCCAAGGTACGGTTTCTTTTGCCAGCTGGGTTGTGAGAGTGTTGTTTGTTCTTCTCTCGGTGGGACAGCTGCTTGTTGTGATGGATGTCACTAAGATGGATTCCGTGTCCATAAAATTTGATGGGAAAATTTTTGCTATTTGGGAATTCCACTTCCGTAATTTTGTGGCTGGCCAACGTCTTCTCCCTATCCTCACGGGCGAGCTACCGCAACCTGCTGTGGGTGCGGATTCTAGGGAAGTTGGAGATTGGCAGGCTGGGAATGCAAGGCTGATTACTTGGTTGCTCGGCGCGGTGGACATCCCGACCGCCCTGAGCTTGCGTCGGTTTAACACAGCCCATGAGATGTGGCATCACATCTGCTCGACATATGCACAGAATAGCGCTTCGCGACAGTTTGAGCTGGAAACTGAGATTGCTCGCTTGGCTCAAGGGGATCGGAGTATCCGCGAATACTATCAAGCTTGCCTTCATCTTTGGACGGAATATGATTTGTTAACGACTTCGTTGGTTCCGGCTGCTGCGTCGGATGCGGTCATTGCGGAACGAATACGTACTCGTGTTCTTCAGTTCTTGGCCAAGCTTCGATCGGAGTTCGAGCCTATCCGTGCCTCTTTGATCCAGCGAAACACGACCCAACTGGAGGATGTGATTGCTGAGTTGATGAGGGAGGAGACTAGGCTGAAAAGTCAATCTCAAATTGACAATGTTGGTTTACAGGCGGAGTCGGCATTTGCTGTGGGACGTCCCGCGGCTGCTTCTCGTCCCCAGGTGCCACGGACTTCTTCCGGGACGATTGTTTGCCACTTTTGCCGCGAACAAGGTCATATTCAAATCCACTGCAAGAAGAAGAATTTTTGCAACTATTGCAAACGGTCGGGCCACATTGTGCTTGAGTGTTCGACATTGATTCGCCGCGGCAAACTTCGACCTGCCTCGGGGGTTGGCACCTCGTCCTCTCCCGCGGCTGCGTACCCAGTCACTGTGGAGGCTCCTGTTGCTCCGGTCGCTTCCTCTTCCGCTGGCGGTGGGTCGGTTTCTGCTGATCAGATCCGCCGATTAGTTCAGGAGGCTCTCCAAGAGGCACTCTCCTCCGCGTTCGCTACCTCGGCTCAGTCCGGTAAGTCCCTCCGATGGCTCTTAGACTCTGCTGCTTTCAACCATATGACGAGTCATCGTCCGGCTTTTGATCACTTGTCCCCTGTGAACTCGATGCGTCTTCAAGTGGCCAACGGGGCCACTATTCCTGTTCATGGGTCGGGCACAGCTCACACCGGCCCGGTTACCCTTCCCCATACGCTATATGTTCCTCAACTTCGTCCAAATTTGGTCTCGGTGGGTCAGTTGACTGAGGATGGTTATAATGTCGTGTTTGACTCCACTGGCTGTGCTGTGCAGGACCGGACGACGGGGAGGGTGATCGGGCGGGGCCGTAAGAGTGGTCGCACATTTGTTTTGGATAACTTCTCAGGGGTGGACATGTTTGGGGAGGACGTGCATGGCAAATGCATGGAGATTGGCGCTGCTGAGAAGAATGGTTCTTCTTTGAAAGGGGTTGGTCCCTTGTATTGTTTCCAGGCTAATGACAGTGTTGATTTTTCGGCAAACAACTCTCGTATTTCTCTTGGAAATTCTGTATGGGATTTATGGCATCGACGTTTGGGTCATCCCCATTCGGGAAGATTGAAAACTATGTTTCGGCAGAACTTATTTCCTGATCGGTTAGCTGTTTCTAAGTTGAATGGTATTTCGGATTGTGTGGAATGTGTTGAGGCCAAGACCTCGCAGCTGTCTTTCTCCACTAGTGATACAGTTTATGACGACCCATTTGATTTAGTTCACACTGATATTTGGGAGCCGTCGCCTATCACGTCTCGCATGGGGTTTAGGTACTTTGCATTGTTTATAGATCATACGACCCGATATACGTGGGTTTATTTTTTGAAGAAGAAATCCGACTTGGTTGTGGCAGCCAAGGAGTTTGTGAGTATGATCCGGACGCAGTTTGGGAAAACAGTCAAGGTCTTGAGGTCGGACCCTGGTGGGGAGTTTGTGGCCACCGAACTTTTACAGCTCTTTAAGGATTTGGGAATTCTTCAGCAACAGTCGTGTCCTGGTGTGTCTCAGCAGAACGGGGTTGTAGAGCGAAAACACAGGCATGTATTGGAGCTTACTCGCGCTGTTCTGTTCCACTCAAGGGTTCCCCCCGGTTTTTGGGTTGAGGCGGTCCAGACTATTGTTTATTTGATAAACCGCCAGATTACTCCACTCCTTGGTCAGAAGTCACCATATCATGCTCTTTACCAGCGACTTCCTGATTATTCGTCCCTCCGAGTGTTTGGCTGCACCTGTTTTGTCCTGCTACCGAAGAAAGATCGGCACAAACTTGCTCCCAAAGTGGCTCGCTGTGTTTTTGTGGGGTATAGCGAGAAGCATAAAGGTTACCTTTGTTATGACCCTGGTGATCGTCGGATGAGAATAGCATATCATGTACGGTTTATGGAAGACAACATGTACTATAGAGATAAGTCTTCTACTGAGGCTGACATTGCCGAGTCATTAGACTTTCTTGTTCCCTTGGCTGAGTTCGACTCCTCCTCTCCGCCAGCGCCAGTGGATTCGACCCCTGCCAGCCCCGCGCCGTCAAGTCCCTCTTTGTCTCCCAACAGCCCGCCATCGAGCGCCTCTTCTTCGGGCTCTATCTCTCCTGGTTCTGCCTCATCCTCCTCTAGCTCGTCGAGTGGTGGTGGTCCGAGTGGTGCTGGTTCAGGTGGTGGTCCGAGTGGTGGGGACTCCAGTGGTGGGGGATCCTCTCCACCGTCCCAATTGATAGTTCCGCCGCGTCGCTCCAACCGAGCTAATCTGGGTAAACCACCGCCCCATATGCGTGACTTTGTGAGCTTCTCCGCGGCCCCGATTTTTATCCCCACTTGTTATTCCCAAGCCGCAGCTGATCCACGGTGGAATGCGGCTATGAAGGTCGAGATGGACGCTCTTGAAAAGCAACATACTTGGGATTTAGTCCCTCGAGAAGAAGGTATGCAAGTCATCGGCAGTCGCTGGGTTTACAACGTCAAGATGCTCCCCGATGGTGAAGTTGAGCGTTTTAAAGGACGTGTCGTGGCTCAAGGGTTTAGACAGGAGTATGGTATCGACTACGATGAGACATTTGCTCCGGTAGTTAAGATGCAGACTGTCCGCTGTGTTTTTGCTGTAGCCTCTATGAAAGGTTGGTCTCTTCTTCAGCTTGATGTGAAGAATGCATTTCTTCATGGTGACCTGAAAGAGACTGTCTATATGGAGAGACCTCCGGGATATGAGAAAGGGGATTCTACTATGGTGTGCAAACTTAATCGCTCCCTGTATGGCTTGAAACAGGCACCTCGTGCATGGTTCGAGAAGTTTCATGGGACGATCCTGCAGGCTGGCTTTACTCAGAGCCAAAATGATCCCTCTCTTTTTACCCGTGAGACCGTTGATGGCATTGTTATTTTGTTGATCTACGTTGATGATATGATTATCACAGGCAGTGATAAGGATGGCATTCGCGAAGTTACTACCGCACTCCATACAGCTTTCAATCTCAAGGAAATGGGGGAGGTTTCTTACTTCTTGGGTTTGGAGGTCAAGCGCTCACCACAAGGTATTTTCCTTTTTCAGCGAAAATATATTCTTGATCTTTTACACTCTTCTCAGTATGCAGATTGTGTGCCATGCTCCACTCCAATGGAGCAAAACTTGAAGTTGACCAGGGAAGGGGGGGAAGTGATGGAAGATCAATCGGGTTACAGGAGCTTGGTAGGGAGTCTAATTTACTTGACCCATACGAGACCAGACATTGCTTATGCAGTTCAGGTGGTGTCTCAGTTCATGGGAAGAGCGACTAGGGTTCATTTGGCCGCCGTGCACAGGATTCTGAGATATCTTAAGCAAACGCAGGATGTCGGGCTGTTCCTACCAGCAAATGGAGAACCTGTGGTTGAGGCTTTCGCAGATGCGGATTATGCAGGATGCATAGACACCAGAAGGTCTACCTCGGGATGGTGTGTTCGTGTTGGGCAGTCTTTTGTGTCTTGGAGGTGCAGAAAACAGGATAGAGTGTCAAAATCCTCAACTGAAGCAGAGTATCGGTCTATGTCTGAGGTAAGCTCAGAACTTGTGTGGATACATCGATTACTAGGTGAATTGGGCGTTAATTGTCGAGTCCCAATGCGCATTTATGGGGATAACACCAGCGCAATTCAGATTGCTGTTAACCCTGTGATGCACGATCGGACTAAACATATAGAGGTTCATGTCCATTACATCAGACAATTAGTAGCAGAAGGAGTGATACAAATTGGGTACCTTTCGACCGAAGATCAGACAGCAGATCTTTTGACCAAGGCAGTTGCTTCGAGTAGGCATTGGTATTTGTCGTCCAAATTGATGCTGCGTACCGCAGATCAATTTGAGGGAGGGTGTTGAAATATCAAAGTTTGGGTACCAATTTGTATAATTATCTTCTGTTGTATTGTCTATGTAATTGTGGAACCCTAAGGCAGAACCTATAAAAGGGCCGAGGGTCTTTGCTGTACTGCTTAAGCCGTTTGGCAATTATAGTGAAGATTATTGGAGAGCACAGCCTCTCCCGTGGATTAGTCCTGAACCTCAGGGATACCACGTTAAATCTCGGTGTTCATGTTTGTTGATTCTATAGTTCTTTACAAGATCATCACACGCCAAATTGAAATGGGAAGTTTAGCCATTAATTCAAATGAAATGATAAATTGAATTAATTCAAATTGAAATGATAAATTATAATTTTCAACATTCTTCCAATAAAACTTAAGTATTCATCTTAGTATATTATACTTGACAAATATTCGAATACAAAGGGTGTCGGTGACGATTGAACCCATTGACTCATATGAATATCTGAAGATAATATACACTTAAGTTTTACAAACTTCCAAGTGACCTTGACACTATTATCCGCCATGTGTCCAATCCTTCTCGTAAGCGCACACGAAACCAGAGTACGGGTTTTTTTTGAAGCGGGTGCACTTCATGCTTACATAGGTTGAATTCTTTAGTTGTGTACCTGCATAATACACTTTATCAAAGATTCAATTAATAAGTTTTAAACTTCATCCTCTTTCTCTCATGCAGGATAACAAGCACATATACCTCGGGATGATGCATTGTGTGCTTCATGATTGTATCACCCTAATAAACAGAAGTTAAGCATGACTATGTCGAACAGCCGATCCATCAGAACCATGATCCATCCCTACGGCTGGTTGTCCTTTTACTGTTGCTGGGATCTTTGTCTTCGTCTCAAGAAACACATCTCTCATTGTGTTACACGAATTTTGTTGTATCACTACAAAAAGAAGCAGCACCGCTAATAAAGTCGTTGGAATAAGCCACGTTTGTTTTTTCAACTTGAAAGCCATGAATGATTATATATATATATAGTGCTCTGCTCAGTACATTAATATTCAGGAGAGGAGCTACAGTAAGTATAACACCTCTGTAACACAGGTTTCTGTAAAAAAAAAAAAAACCCCTCTGTCCTTTTTAATTATACTCTCTGTAACTATGCTGAAGATTATTTATTTTCTTTTCAATGATTGTTTTTTGTATAAATACCTTTTAATTAAATATCATTTTTATGTAATTACCATTTAATAATAATACAACAAATAATGAGAAACGTTTTTTCCAATAATTAATAGCAATTGTGTTTTCGGAAAGGAAGAATTACAATTGTTGGTATGAGCATTTCATATTTCAATCTTGATATTCAACTGAAGTTGAGCAATCGCCGCAAGCAGCACGGTTACCGTGTTTATGTTCAAAATATGACGAGATTAGTCTTATATTAGATGTAAAAAGGGATAAATTACGAGAAATTTGTTTGCATAATTTATTGACAAAATAGTTAATTGTACCTTAATAATAAAAAATCAAAATCAATATCGTCACTACGTCCTGACATCAGCACGACAACCCTGTTTTGGGCAAATATTACAATTCATGCAACACAGTTTTCCGACGACAGGATTACAACACCAATTGCACCATGGCCACTTCCCTTCTAAATGATAATCTGCAGCCACACTTAACCACCATTTCACTGTTGTTGGTGTCGTTGTCTCCATCTTCTCAAGAAACACATCTCTCTTAGCAACTTCGGTATCGACTCTCGTCCCCATAGCCACTTCATTTCCTATATAACAAGGAATAAATTAGTATTGTTAATACATGAGATGCAGTGAATAATGACTTGTTTTAGTGGTACTATTGCTGATTTTTAACTCGAAGATCTCATATTTGGATTATTGGGTATATAAAGACAAACTTTCTAAGGTGTTTACCGATAATCATGAAAGATGTGAGAAAGAAGAGAAGGAAGACGTTCGAGGTCTTCATACTTTGATATATAATTTGCAACCTATTTGCCTTTTGGGAAATAGTATGTATTTGTGCTAATAGTCTTAATATCCCTAGTCACAAGTCACAATAATGTTGAATATACAGAGTGTTTTGGAAAATGATAGATCTATTTATAGAGATTCAATTGGAGCACATTATTGATTGTGTTACCAATAATTAATGGGTAGTAGGATACATTTCCCATATATACAGACAAAAAATAAATCTTATTTTTAAGTAAGCTAATTATATATTTAACAAATGAAGGATGGTATTTATGAGTTTTCTATATATTGCTTTCTAATCATTAACCTACCATTTCCTCTTAAACAAGTTGGAGTCATTTGGTTTCCGTAATATCAAAATCTATGGAGTATGAAACGTTTAAGATCCATGGGAAAATGTTTCTAAAAAACAAAGATCCATGGGGAAATGATGTAAACTTATAAAATTTAATAAGGAGTGGATTTGGATTTATCATCTTTTCAGATTTTTTTAAGGTAAAAATTAAATAAATATATTTTCATCCTTGTTACATATATAGATTAATAGGCTTAGTAAACAACGGGAGTGTTTGTGTATCTTGGTTGGCTAGTGGAACAGAAGTGATCTATGGTAAAAAAAAATGGAGCACATCTTGTGCATAACCTAGATTTGCGTAACTCTATGTAACTCTAATTTCATCCATTTATCCCAAGTTAATCTCGAGCATCAATGAATTTAAATAAGGAAAAGGAGGGGTGTGATGGTAATTTCCCACCCTTTTGTCCTCTTTTTTCTTGTTTCTGGCTGACTGATAAGACAACCGAATGGGTCTTGCAGGATGAGCCGGGTGCAATGGTGGCAGCATCAGCAGTTTTGTATGAGGGTGTGTTTGATCCGTTCTTGACGGAGGTGCTCTTCTTACGGGATGCAATGCGGTGGTGTTTGGATAGGGGTCTGCAATCGATGGTGTTTGCTTAAATGCAAAGGTTACAGTTGATAGGCTCCGAGAGGATCAATGGAAACACGTTTGTGGGGGAGTGGTCCTTGGTGATATCTTGGCCTTTGAGGAGGGAGTTTGATCATATGGATTAGGGCTGGCTATTTGGACCGGGACCGGGACCGGATGAAAAACCGGAAACCGGACCGTATAACCCGGACCGAGACCGGATCGGGACCGGATAGTAAACAATCCAATCCAATCTTTGGGCTTAGATTTGAGGTAAAAAACCGGATAAAGACCGGATAAGAGAGCTCAACACCCAAAACTTAAGGGTAATTTGCATAAACGGTCACAAACCTTTACACTTAGTACAAAACTTAACCAACTCCTCACCCTTTTAGGCCTTAGGCCACTCAAATTCCCACAATCTCAATATAAAATCAAGACCAAATTGGGACCGGACCGGGTCAAGACCGGAATGTATCCAATCCAATCTTCGGTCCTTATATTCTAAAAAAAACCGGACTGGACCGGATCAATTTGGGCCAATTTAACCGGACCGTATAGCCACCCCTAATATGGATATTTATTGGTCATCCGTGTAACAGGATTGCCCACTTGGTGGCATGTAAAGTCTTTTTGTTGTTCCCTTCATTAGTTGGGTTCGATTTTCTTCCCTGACTGTTTTCAGTCTCTTGACTCTTATGTATCGGGCTGTTTATTCAGTAATACGAATGATTTTTTGACACACAAAAAAGATACGATAACAGAAGGAGAGAGAGGAGATGCTTGACTAGTCAAAGTCTACAATTCATAAACTCCAATTTTTCTTAATTAGGTGATGTATCATTCGTTTTAACAGTGGATCCCCTTGCCTAAACTAGTCTGAGCAGAGAACTAACCCACCACCCCACCATTAAAACCTACATTAAGCTTAGGGTGGTAATGCACATAGTAATCCATCTAATAAATTATATCGCGAAACTCAACCTCTAAGACTGTTAGAAGAAACTGACAATCCACAGAGTCAATGGTTTTCATCAAGTCCACTTTTTTTTTTTTTGGTCGAAAAGATGACGCATTGCGTCTAGTGCATAGTATTAATAGAACGTTCTTGGGCAATGCCCATTACATCATATTGAAGCCAATATCTAAGCCCCGGGTCACACACATCGAAAAAATGTGTGCCAAAAGGGGAGTCGTGCCCAACGTTAGCAAGATAATCAGCTGCACAGTTAGACTCTCTATACACATGAGAGATTTTGATCTCCCAATCCCGGTCCAAAAGGTTCCTAAACATGGCTGCCGTTTGCCCATGTCTGTGATCATCTTCCGAGTGGTTGTTGATGATCGAAATAGCCGTCTCCGAATCCAAATTGAGCTCGATTTTTCTATACCCTTCTTCCCAAGCAATCTTCAGCCCCTCCATTGCACCTTTCAGCTCCGCATGCGTGATCGAGCAACTTCCCAAATTGCAGACAAAAGCTCGATGACATCTGCCGAGATGATCACGGAAGAGGCCACCTGCAGCCGCCTTACCTGAGCCGTGGTGGACTGATCCGTCGCTTTGGATTTGTATCCACTCATGGTGTGGTGGCTTCCAAGTGATTTCCTTTGTCTGCAGCACCCTCCTGGGTTCATTCGCAATGCTCTCCCAGAAAGAATGCGCGTTTCTGATGATGTTAAACCAGGCTCCAATCCTGCAGAGAAGGCCCTGTTTTGAGTAGCTCTTCCCATCTAAGACTTCTTCATTCCTCTGTTTCCAGAGGTGCCAGCATATCAGCCCGAAATCAATACCCTTATCCTCATCCAGCAGGTTTCTCATTAGCCATTCTTCCAGAGGAATTTGGAGGTTGCTTTCCACCATTCTATGCCTGAGTTTGCACCAGACCTCTCTTGCTTTGCTGCAGCTGCGTAGGATATGTTCAATTGTCTCTCCTTCCTCGTTGCAATGGTTGCACTTATCCAAAGTGGTTATCTTTCTTCTTTTGCGTTCGTGGTTGGTCATCAGTCGGTCATGGAAAACCAGCCAAAAGAAATGCTTGACCCTGTTGGGTCCCTTCCACTTCCAGATGCCCTTCCAGCTTGTGTCAGCATCTTCTCCTTCGTCCCCAGTTGCTGCCAGGTAGTAAGCAGACTTCAATCTGAAGCGTCCATCAGCTTCAAGCCCCCATATGGTCTTGTCTTCTCCCAATTCCGGGTTAGGTGGTTCACATCCTGCAATCAAATTCAGAGCGTCATCAGGCAATAAGCTCTCAAGCCTGTCCCAATCCCACTTACCATCCGCCGTGGTCCATTCCGCCACAGCAGAGTATCTCTCACTGTCAGGGATGTCCTGCACCAGGTAAGAGTCGAGGGTGATCCCTGTGTCCAGCCACGGGTGAGTCCAAAAGCTTGTAGTCTCGCCATTTCTGATACTCCAGCAACATCCACTCTTCATCAAAGGCATCGCTTTGAGGATGCCTTTCCAGAGACTCGAATGGTTGCTTTTCTTCATGGAAAGAATGGCACCATTCCTCTGTTTAAAATATTTTCCCTGCAAGACCTTAACCCACAAAGCATCCTCATGGTTCAAAATTTGCCAAGCAAGCTTAATCAGAAAAGCCATATTCATACTACGAGCAGACCTCAACCCAAGCCCCCCCTGACTCTTCGGTTTACAAATGGTCTCCCAAGAGATCAGATGTGCTTTCCTAACCCCTTCCTGAGACCCCCAAATAAACCCTCTGATTCTCTTGTCAATAGCCTCACAGATAGTAGCCGGGAGAACAGAGGACTGCATAGCATAGCTAGGCAGAGAATTCAGAACCGAAGTGGCAAGGGTAACCCTTCCAGCAAGTGAAAGGGTTTTGGCTTTCCAAGTGGTGAGCTTATTATCCATTTTCTAAAGTATATACTTGAAAGTATTGTTGTTCAACCTGCCATGCAACACTGGGACTCCTAAATATCTACCAAGATCATTAGTAGATTGGATTCCAAGCTTAGCACAGATGATTGATCTAGTTCTATTCTGCACATTCTTAGAGAAGAAGATCCTAGATTTTTCTTTACTAATTAATTCCCCAGAGGCCTGGCAGAACCTCTCAAGACAGGACATGACCACATCAGCATGCTTGGGGCTTGCTTCAGCAAACAACACAAGGTCGTCCGCGAAGAAAAGGTGAGACAGGTCAGGACCAGCAGGTGACAATCTCATAGGGTTCCAGTTCTTGCTCCTAACTTCCTCTACAATAGTATGACTCAATCTTTCCATACATAATGTAAAGAGATAGGGAGAGAGTGGACATCCCTGACGTAGACCTCTCGATGGTGTGAAACTCTCAGTCTCCCCACCATTCCACAGCACTTGAAAGCTTGTAGTGGTCACGCAGGCCATGATGATTTTGATGCATTCAGCAGGTAGGTGTGCTTCCACAAGCGTCTCCTCCAAGAATTTCCAGCTAATTCTGTCATACGCCTTGGCAAGATCAATCTTGAGAAGCATGAAACCTTTTTTCCCAGTTTTCTTGGCCATGGAGTGCACCGTTTCCTGCAAAATGATAATGTTGTCAGTAATATGTCTCTTTGGTACAAAACTGGATTGATTCGGGTGTATGAGGTGTGGCAACAAAGGCTTGAGTTTATTGGCTAAACTCTTGGCCACAACCTTATACACCACATTACATAGACTAATAGGCCTAAACTGACTCATGGCCAAAGGGGAGTCAGTTTTAGGAATAAGAGCAAGGAGAGTCTCATTAATCATTTTAATCCTGTCAGGATTAATGAAACATGACTGAATGAAACAAACAAGATCCGTTCCAATTTGATCCCAGCACTTCTGATAGAAGACAGCATGGAAGCCGTCTTTGCCCGGGGCTTTCAACCCATTCATCTCTTTGATGATGGCCTTTATCTCCAGTGAGTTAGGGATTGCTTTCAGACCTGCCAGAAAACAGTCAGCAACCATAGGGAAGAAAGCAGGAAGGGGAACATCAATTAAAAGCGGGTCACAAGTGAAAAGTTTGACATAAAAATCTCTGGCCAAACTCTGGAGTTGGTCAGGGTCAGTCACCCATTGTCCATCATCATCCTTGAGACCAATGATTCTGTTATGCTTTCTTCGGCAGAGAGTACTTGTGTGGAAGAATCGTGAGTTCATATCACCCTTCACCACCCAATTTGCTCTGGATTTTTGAATCCAGAGCAGCTCTTCATTCCACAAAGTTGTTTCCAACTCCTCTCTTGTTTCCTGCTCTTTTCTCAGCGAGCTGGTACAAGGGCTTCTCTCATTCCACATCTCCAGGTTCTTGAGCTCCCTAAGGAGTTCTTTCTTGCGTTTGAAAATATTTCCAAACACGTCCTTGTTCCATTTCTTTAGATCTTCAGAGAGACCCTGCAGAGAGAAAGGAAACTCAGTGCCTTTACTCCATTTAGCAGAGATAAAGGGGAAGAAATTTTCATGGGAAAGCCATGGCGCAAGGAATTGGAATCTCCTCACCAGGGTGTTCTTTCCCGTGTCAACATTGGTGCATGTAAGGATTGGTCTATGGTCCGATCTTATCTTTGGAAGGTGGAGGTTGAAAGTCGATGGGAACCGCTGCTGCCACTGCAAATTGCACAGGCTCCGGTCCAGTCTTTCCCTGAGCAAAGAGTTCCTTGTGAACCATGTGAACTTTGGTCCCCGATAACCAACATCAATCAACCCGCAGTCATCGATACAGTCTTTAAAAGCCTTGGTTCTAGCAGGGTTGAAAGGTGCTCCTCCCTGCTTTTCAGACGGTTTGGTGATGGAGTTGAAATCACCCAGGAGTAGCCATGGTGTTGTGATCTCCCTCTCCATTCTTCTTATTGTCTCCCAGAGTTCCCTTCTCTCGTGTTCATTTGGACTGGCATAGACAGCGGTGAGAAGAAACTTTACATTACCCCCCTCCAAGCATTTAAGATGCAAAAACTGCCTATGCCTGTCCACCAGCTCCATCTTCAGCGTTCCACTATTCCACATAACCCAAATCCCACCACTGAACCCCACAGCATCAGACACTTTCCATGAGTCGTAGCCGAGGGTTTTGATCACATCAACAGCATCACCCCCACTGATCCGTGGCTCCAAAATGCAGGCAATGTCAGGCTTAAACTGAAACTTATACTCGAGAAAAGAAGAGTGAAATTTGGGGTGTCTAGCACCCCTGCAGTTCCAGGAGAGTACTTTAACCATAAAAAGTTAATGTGCTCCTCCCAAAATCAGAAAAGACAGAATATCAGCTGTCGATGGCCATAGCCATCTGTCTACCCTCCGGTTTGACTCCATGGTCATTGCCCTCGGGTAAGCTTGCATCTTCTGGCATTCTAGGGTCAACATCCGTCTTCGGATCAAAATTGATCTTTTTCGGTTGCCCTTTCCCATTATCCGGGGAGATAATTTTCTTCTTAGCCTTCTCTTTGCTTTCCACACTAGGCGTTGGGAGTTTCCCTTTGGGCTGGTGCCCTGCACGAGCCCCAGAGGCCTGACCCCTTTCATTTCCAGTGTTAGGTCTATTCTGAAGTGGAGGAGTGCCACTCCCCTTTGAATTGAGCCTTCCATTGGGTGATTGAGGGACAGCCTTGCCACCCTTTCTGGATTTGATGTTGTTGTTACCTGTGGGTTCCTTGTCGTTGGCTGCAACAGGATGGTCAAGCTTAGTCGTATTTCCACCAATGTTCTCACTACCCTGCCTCGCCTTAATTTGATCTCCCATCAAGTCCACTTTGACAACACTACGAAGAGAAAGATTTTTCTTATGTACTTTTGAACCATTTCATGAGCTAAGAAGATGTTTCTCATATAACACTGCCTCTAACAAAGACAATTTGGTGTTCAGTTATTATCATTGGCAAGCATTCACTCAACCTAGAGGATATGGTCTTAACAATGCACTTGTAGAGGATGCTACAAGCAAGATATTGGTCTAAACATCTTCATATCCTAAGAATTTTTAATTTTTGGGATAAGAGCAAGCAAAGTAGAGCTTACCTCTCTTAGAAAAGCTTAAGTGACAAAGCAGTGTTGTGTGGCAGCAACAATTTTTGGCCCAATTGTGTCCCTAAACTTTTCTCACCCTTAATTCCAAACTTGGTCTTCTTTACCTCGTATGCAGTTACTGACTCACAAAGTTTTGTCACCTGATCTAGTTGGAGTCTCTTTTTCGATAATCTTCTAAAATAAGACACGAACTCGGTCTTTACCAAAGGATCTAACTTCCCTAGCAAGTTCATATAGAAAGAAACAACTATTTCAATCAAAGCATCAGCTTTAGTGACTCAAACCATTTTCATCAAGCAAAGATATGATAGTATTCATTTACTCATGAATTTTCACTAATATGTGGAATCAAATAGGAGGTATTTGAGTCCTCTTCAAGCTAAATTTCCCTTGACTTATAACGCAGGAAAGACTCCTCTGCTAATTTCATTTCCTTTAACTTTAAAGATTTTTGTTTCTCATGTTCAAAAGTAAGGATTTTTCGAGGCCTCCGTTTGAGCATACTAGAGCTCAGTTTCTTTATGTTTTACTCTATCTCTTAAATCAGAGTGAACTTCTCTATTCAAATTCTTTAACAATTTTTTCAAAATTCTCAATTTTCTACACTCTCTCAATAGGAGAGCCCACTACTTTAGAAGACTAATATTCTTTGACCAACTTTTGAAATCGAGGATGAGCAAACGAAAACTTAAAAATTTGAAAGGTTTAGAGAGAGCTTTTATTGAGCTTAAAGAAATTGGATAGTGATTAGAAACTGAGGGGTCCAAGAGGTCAACCACACTATTTGCTCAAGATTTTAACCACTTCAAGTTAACTAATACTTTTTCCAGTCTTCCAGCAATGGGATTACCAGACTGATTATTCATCCAGTACGCCCTTTGATTTTAGTGTAATGTTATATGTTATATGAGATTAGATATAACTTATAAATGGACATACAATATAGATTTTTTCATATATCAGAACTAAACCAAACTAAACCGATAGACCATTAACTCTCAACCCACTATTCGCAGACCAACGGGCTAAATCGGGCCGGCAACCTTGATTTGCAGTCGACAGCCAGGATAACTGGTCGCCGCAGTAATTCTCCACAAACTAGCTTTCTACTTCTCCGAGCAGTAAAAGGTAAAAAAAAAAAAAAAAAACAAGCGAACCCAAAAGACAGTGAAAAAACAACAACATGCGCAGTGAGATGAATGATGCGGCAAACGCAAATCCAAACCTAAACCCCTCGTAAGCGGAAGGCCACCTCCGCACTCCTTTTCCTCTTCCTGCGATCCTAATCTCGCAGTCGCCTCCCCGCCCGCAATCCATTCTCTCCCTTATGCGCACTGTCTCCCCGCAAAGCTAAATATCTGACTGCTCTTTTTCTTCTTCAGGTGAGTTTCAATTACTGATTATCATCGGTGTTATGGGTCAGCCTTTTCTAGGCCTGTTAATGCGCGATGTGTTCGTCTTGCTCTGCTTCTGGGATTGCTGTCAAGCATCTTCTGATCGAGATTATCGTCTGGGTTCATCTCTCAACCATCGAATGTGTAATGGGTTGTGGAAAGTTTTCAAATTTGTTGTCTGAGTTATCTGTTAGTGATTTTATGGGTTGAACTTTGGGGGCTTGTAGGTTCTATATCAGGGTTTTCCTGTTCGTTTCTGTTAAGTTGCAATCCATGCCTGTAGATGTGATGTTGGACAGTGATGCAGAAGGGACTTTTTTTTTGCTTGATGTTTCGTTAGGATGAAGAAGAACTTGCCCCTTGCATACTTTTTAGATGTTAAGTTCTTGTGGATGGTGTCAGTTATTGTTGCTGCTGCTGCTGCTTTCTAGGTTTGTGTTTGTGATTTCAATCTGTAGTGAATGTTTGTCTTAAGTTGTCATCTGTGTATTTGTCTGTTTGGCTTACAGGTAGGGGACTATGGGGAAAAAGGTCAAGAAAAAGAGCCGTGCGCCTCAGAAGGAGAAGAGGGTTGCTGGTCACTCTCTGAGTAAGGTACCTCAGCAAAGCAGTCTCAGCATAAGTGATGGCAATGTTGCTGGTGATGGCGTAGTAGTAGTTCGTAAAGAGCGAAATCCGTGTGCACATTTGGACAAGGGGTTTGATCTGACCAAGTTCTCTGATAAAATTAGTGGTTCAGATTCTATAAGCTGTGAGGATTGTCGGGAGGCTGTTGCTGATAGAAGGGGCGGTAAGGGAAAGGGTAAGCATGGGAAGAAGAAAGGAGCTGATTCCAAGTCTGATTCAAAGGCCATTTGGGTCTGCTTAAACTGTGGCCATTATGGATGTGGAGGGGTTGGTTTGCCAACAATCGCCCAAAGCCATGCTGTTCGGCATGCTAGACAGGCTGGTCACCCCTTGGTTATCCAGTGGGAGAACTCTCATCTTAGGTGGTGCTTCCAGTGCGACAGTTTTATTCCAGTTGATAAAACAGAAGATAGTGGTGAAAGTAAGGATATATTTTCAGATGCTGTAAAAGTAATCAAGGCCCATGTGTCCCATCCGCCAACACTGCGGCATGGTGAGGATATCTGGTTAGGAAGTGGCAGCATCTTAAGTGAAGTAAAAGCTGAAGGCACCATCTCCAAAACTTCAGAAGGTAATGGTGGTTATACTGTGAGGGGCTTGGTTAACCTGGGAAACACTTGCTTTTTCAATTCAATAATGCAGAATCTTCTAGCTATGAATAGGTTGAGGAGTTATTTTATCAGCGCAGATTCTTCTTTTGGCCCTCTTTCTACTGCTTTGAGGAAGCTTTATGATGAAACTAGACAAGTGACAGGTGCGAGGAATGTGATTAATCCGAGATCCTTTTTTGGGTCTCTCTGTTGTAAGGCCCCTCAATTCAGGGGATATCAACAGCATGACAGTCATGAATTGTTGCGCTGCTTACTTGATGGATGGTCCACTGAAGAGTTGGCTGGAAGGAGACAAATTAATGCTTCTGATCCAACTGGTGTTGCTCCAACAAATATTCCTACATTTGTGGATGCCACATTTGGGGGACAGATCTCTAGTACTGTATGTTGCATTGAGTGTGGACATTCCTCCACCATTTATGAGCCATATTTAGACCTCTCGCTTCCAGTTCCGACTAAGAAGCCTCCAACTAAAAAGTTCCAGGCTGTCTCTCGAGCAAAAAAGACCAAGCTACCACCAAAGCGAGTTGGAAAAGCTAGGCAGAAAGTGAGCAAAGATACAGCAGATACAGTGCAGGGTGTAAGTGCTGCAACCTCTTCCACAAGCATTGTATTGGGGTGCCAACCACTATTGATAACATCTAATACAGATAATGTAGTGTCTTCCTCGGGTGATACTACAGTGTCTGACTCAGCTGGTCAAACTTCTGACTGCTGTGAAACAGGCTTAGTCGCAGGAAATTTTCTTGAGGTTCCGGTTTCTGTGGACAAGGAAGTTGTTGGAGCTGAGCTGGAAGGATCAGCAGCTTCTGCTGAACCTTATTCATGGATGGATTTTATATCTTCCGAAACATCAAACGAGAATGACTTGATCTCACAAGTCAATGAGTTATCAATCATTGAAGTTTCAGCAGATAAAGATGTGGTTTCGAATGGGAAGGAGGAGACTCCTCCATTTGATTTGGTTCACCAAACACCACCATATTCAGAGCCAAAATCTGTCTCTATAGATCCTTGGGAAGAGGAAGTACCATTGCAGGTACAGAGCTCTGAAGTTCTGTTGCTTCCTTACTATGAAGAGGGTGCCATAGGTGGGGAGGATACTATTTCTGGAGAAGCTGGGGCTTCATCTTCTTCAATTGTGGGATCTGGACAGGATGAAGCAGCCTTTGATGGTTTTGGTGATTTATTCAATGAGCCAGAGGTTTTTATTGGCCCAGTAGCAGGGCCTGTTCATTTAAGCAATGGAGTAGCGGGAGAAACTTGTCCTACTGCAGTTGGAATTAGCAGTGAATCGGATCCTGATGAAGTTGATGATTCTGATTCTCCTGTATCCGTGGAAAGTTGCCTGACCCAGTTTATAAAGGCAGAGGTTCTCTGCAATGATAATGCTTGGGAATGTGAGAACTGTTCCGAAACTTTACACCTCCAGAACCTGGAGGCAAAGAAGAAACTGGGCAGAACTGTGTCAGGAGGAGATCTAAATGGAGGTGATAGTCGGCGCTTAAATTCAGACATCTCATGTTCTTCTGGAAGTGGAATTGTGAATGGAGAAGCCATTGCTGCTGATACACTTGTCAATCCCAAAGTTGAAAACTTGGTTTCTAATGGCGGAGAGATCGAATGCCTAAATGAAAATGTCATGGCAGTTGCTGAAAACGGTGAAGTGGATATGCAGAAATTGTTAGTTTCACCAATTGCTGAACAAAGATGTGACACGGCAGCTGCTCCTCGCTCAGTGCTACCACCTTCTCCTGGCGGTGGAGAAGAACCAGCGAACGAAGAAGGTGCAAATGGTAATTCATCTGTTAACACTTTCGGTATTGATGAGTCTGTTTCTACCAGTGCTGAATATGCTGCTGGTTCTGCTGGCAATGAAGAGAACGGATTGAAGTTGCCTAGAAAAGTTGAGTCAGAGGATAGTGAAGGCAAAGAACAGAAAACCATAAAGAAAGCGATTGTGAAGAGGGATGCAACTAAAAGGGTCCTTATTGACAAAGTACCACCTATTTTAACTATTCATTTGAAGAGGTTTAGCCAAGACATTCGTGGTCGTCTGAGTAAATTAAGTGGGCATGTCAGTTTCAGAGATACACTTGATCTTAGACCTTACTTGAATCCCAGGTACAATGCTTCACCTGCCTTGTTTTCTCGGCCAAATAACCTTGTTGCGTGTGAACTGTTCTAATGGCATAGTCCTCGTCTTATGTGCATATTCTTGAGTTAGTAAAAGTGAATGCTTTGTTTCTCGATTCTGGTGGTCTTTTCTTTGTCATGGTCCAACTCTTGCAATTGATTGGGAGAAATATGGAGACATGTAGCCTCCAATCTATAATTCAAGCTTCTAAGTTTTGGCTATAATGGAAGACTGACCCCGTCGCGAAATCACCCACCCAATAATACGTGCCTTCCAATCCTTTGCAGGTGTGAGAAAGAAGATGAAGAGAAAACAAGTAGTGTCTACAGATTGACAGGCGTGGTTGAGCATATGGGGACGATGAGAGGAGGTCATTACGTCGCATACGTAAGAGGAAGGGAGAGGAGCAAGAAACAAGTAGGAGGAGACGAGAATGGTGGTGGTGGTGGGGATGGTGATTGGGTATGGTATTATGCAAGCGATGGCCATGTGAAGGAGGTTTCGCTGGACGAAGTTCTTCGCTGTGAAGCATACATCTTGTTCTACGAGAGGGTTTGAGAATTTAATTCATTTTTTTTTTTACCTTACATACACACTTTTTTGAAATGTTGCCGGGGTACCGGCTCGAGAGCCAGGACTCGTACAGACAGTCACCCCCAAGGCCAGATTGCATTGTATTCTGTTCGATATGATATGATCCAAACGTTGCCCTGAGCAATCTGTTGTACACCCCCAAGTTGAAATTGTTGGTAATGGTAGGGCGAACAGAATACAAGTAACCAAGATTGCATTATATCCCTGCACTTAGTGAGTAGTGTAAAATGGTTATTTTCATTTTAAATAAATGATTAAACAGAAATGTAGACATCAAAGTCGCTTTGGCCGAGTGGTTAAGGCGTGTGCCTGCTAAGTACATGGGGTTTCCCCGCGAGAGTTCGAATCTCTCAGGCGACGATATTTATTTTTTGAGGGTTGTTATTTGCCGCCCGAGATATTACTATTTGCCGCCTGCAAAATTTACGAAAAAGTCAATTTTGCCCTTTCATTTATTTTTCTAACAAATAATTTAGCAAAACATAATCCAAATCAGCACAAGGCCGAACTTTTTTTTCAAACAAAATTTTACCACCAAAAGACGAGTTTCCGGCGACCAGAGGAATGGTCCGACGGTGGGAAGGTCTCTGAAGACGACGTCAGAGATCGTACGCTTACACGTCGGACCGCACATCCCTTCCGAATGCCGAGGTCGGACCCCGTCCGATTGCCGACGCCGGACCCCGTCCGATTGCCGAGGTCGGACCCCGTCCGAAAGTCGACGTCTGGCCCCGTCCGCACGTCGACGTCGGACCGCGTCCGATTGCCGACGTCGGACCGCACATCTTATTCGGACGATGGGAACGATGATGCCGGGAAAGCGGATGAAGATGGCGGTGGTCGGATGAATCGTTGCGGAAGAAAGAATACAGAAGAAGGGGAATCATCATGGGATTTGCGAGATTATGCCGGAAACGTCGCGGAATAAAAGGAAGGTGAATTGAATGAGGCGAGATTTGGGTAAAGAAATAATCGGGTAACTTTCTTTATTTACAGAGTTTTTTTGTTTAAAGGAAATTACAGAGTTATTTTGAAAGTTGAATACAATTAATAATAAAAAAATGGGGGAATTAAGGAGATAGAAGTTAATATTGAATGCGAATTAAATCATTAATGAGATGACGTTACTATTTATCTGCATTTATTTACTATTTGTCGCAATTAATCTCCGGCGACCACCATTTACCGGCGACCTTCTAAAATTCCGGCACCTTCAGGAGATGCATCAGACAAGAGAGGTGGTGGTGTTGTTAATTAAGTTAGAAAGTTAGAGTATTTAGGATTTAATTTAATAAAATAAAAGGGCAAAAATGATATTTTCTATGAAAGTGCGGGCGGCAAATAGTAAATACTCGGACGGCAAATAGCAGTTCACTATTTTTTCCCTCTCCAAGTTTTCCATTTTTCTCATTTGCTGCAGTGATCAAAAGGAAAGGGAAAGAAAGGCAGCATTTAGGTAACCAGTTCGTGGAGCGAGAGCGTAAGAGCGTCTGATTTTTAAGAACTCAATAATAAGAGCGTCGTGAGAGCGCTAATATTATATTATTTTTATTATCCATTTAATACTTTTGTATAAAAAAATCATGAAAAAATATGAATATGTTTTTACCAAAAAAATATGAATATGAAAATAAAAGGGTAAGTAAGTAAAATTGAAATTAGGGTTAACTGGCTCCCTCTCCCATTCTCATCCCAGCTCGCCGTCACCACTACTGACCACCCCCTTCTCTCCCATCCTACCCACACCCCATTTCTCATCATCCCTGTTCGTCCGACTATTCCACAACTACCCAAGTCCCATAATCTTCTCATGAGTTGCAGAAGATCCTTCCAAAGACGAATCCCCCGTTGAATCCAAATAAACCCAAATCGTGAAACATAAACTCCTTCCCGTTTTCTCAGTGTTTGGAGCTCGATCGCACAACAAAAAAGTATTCAGAGCTTGAAAACAGAAGATTCTTTCCGTTCTCCGGCGACAGAACAAATAAATCGAATCGACGGATCGAAGCAAATCAAGTGAGCGAGCTGACTGGGCTGCTTGGGAATTTTTGGCTCTCCGATTTGGCGGGAGTTTCTTCCTCTTTTCTTCTAGAACGTGGCAGGGGAAAGATGTGGTTGGCATAACATCTTGTTATTCACAGGGTATCTTTGTAAGTTTTGGCACATGCAAACCTAATTGACTACGGCTTCCCCTATTTCTTCCCTTCCCCAGCTTCTTCACTTTCACCTCCTTTCTCGTTGCTATGATTTACTACATCAGTTTCAAACTTATCTTCCACGCCCTTCGCCTACAATCGACAGTGAATTACGGCACGCCGGGGCAAAGCTACAGCTGACATATCGAGCCTGGTGACTCACCGCAAAACAAACAAGAGGCCAACAAAATTGAGGGTGGACTTTCCATTTGTAATAGACCGCGCTCCAGAATTTTTTAGTTCGCGAATTTTACCCGACTTCATCCGAGTTCGCGGTTTCACGCTCTAAAGCGCGTGGAGGCTTAGGGGACGAATTAGGTGACATAAGGCAGCACTCCCATCCATCATCCTTCTTTCCCCTGCCCATCCTCTGCTTTTTACTCTGTTTCTGACTTTCTGTCTATGGTTTCTCTTTTGCTTTTGCACTTTGCCAACTCAAAACAAATACCAAACAGTACAATCCTCCATACGCCAACTTCCCCTTTCCTCCTTTCCCCCCTTTTTCTTTAATCTCCACTCTTTGCTATAACACACTTACTTGCTCCCACTCCCCTGTTTTTTTCCCTAATTTCTTTTGCCTTTCCACCCACAACTCCCATGGCGGCATCACCATCGCTGCTCTCTGCATTGCTCCTCAACCACTTCCTTCTGGTCGTGGTGGAAGGATCGTCGTCGTGGTGCGTGGTTCGAACCGACGCAAGCTACCAGGCGCTGAAGGCGGCTCTGGACTACGCGTGCTGGGCCGGAGCGGACTGCACTCCGATCCAGTCGAACGGACTCTGTTTCCTGCCAAACACCATCCAAGCTCACGCTTCCTACGCATTCAACAGCTTCTACCAGCGCAAGGGCATGTCCCCTGACTCCTGCTACTTCTCCGGCACCGCGAATATCGCCAGAACAGACCCCAGTCAGTCTCTACTACTCACTTCTCTGTTCTTCCTCTGTTTCCTTTTCCTCTTATATACGTGGGCATGTTTCCTTTCCTTCATTGCAGGCTATGGATCTTGCGTCTATCCAGGATCTCTCAGGTATTTTATGTTAATGTTATGCATCCTTCTATCTTATTCTTACCAATTCACAAGTAGCAACACAGTGTCAGAGCCAAAGTTTAATGGAGTTCTGTAGACTCCAGCACAGTTTGTTCAAGTTTCTGTAGCAGTAGTAGCAGCAACTTCAACTGTTGTGTGTATTATGCCAAACTTGAATTATAAGTTCCTCAGATTACTGTAGGCTTTTGCTAAATACCATATATGACAATAAAGCTTGTTTCTTTAACTAATTAAATCATGATTGCCACCAAACAAAATCAGTGATTTGGTTGTCCTAGAAGAAGAGGTTAGAGTTGTGACAGGATCTCCTGGTCCTAGAGATGGAATCTTAAAATTGTTGTTCTCATTCGTTGTCGGAAACATGTTATATTCTCTAAAGGTGAACAGATTCATGTGCCCATGTTAGTATAAAGAAAAGCACACACAGTTCCTTCATCCCTGCATCTTTTCTGATACAAATATTCTCTTCCATCTCCATTTTTCGGGTTTGGAGCGGGGTGTGGCTATGCCGAATGAGTCTGCATTTCAATAATGCTGCTGTTCCTCCATCTTCAAGAGAATAGAACCTAATTCATTATCTGGTGAACTGTAATGTTATCCAGTGCAGCAGGCGGGGCAATTCCAACCCCAACACCGCCAACTAAACCCTATTCATTCACACCGCCAGCGACCACCACCACTACTAATCCGACCATCATCACCGGCCTTGCTCCACCGCTGCCTACCAACACCGACAACTCCAGAGCTTCCATCGGGTCCATGGATGTTGCAGTGCTACTGCCTGCTGCCTCGGTGTTCGTCCTCTTGTTTAGTTTCTGAACTTCAAACCAACCTGTTGAGTCAGGGAAGCAGCTACTCTTCCAAGCACGGGAAAAAAGCTGCCACAGTTTTGTCAGGAAAAAAGGGTTGCGGAAAGAAACAACTCTGATTTGGTGCTCCTCAGCTTTCCTCTCAGATGGTTAGCAATTGTATCTATAATAACCCTACTGTAGTCACAATATTTCTTGTAGGTGTACAGTACAGTTCATGTTCTTGAATGTGAAATCATATTGATTCTCTCTTGATTCTTGCCAGGCTTCATTCAGTCATTTGGTGCTCCTAATGAAATCCAGGACGTGGTTTCTTCTAATAAATCACTAATAATGTAAATTTGATTCTCCTTGTTCTATAATTCCTTTCGGAAGATCTCTCAACTCGCACTGCCAACTACCTTTACTTACTGCCTGCCGATTCTTCTGTGTGTTTAGCCAGGCAGGCATCTTTCAAGTTCTCTAACTATGTAAACAATGTCGCCAGCAAATTCAGCTAACTCCAGATTCCTTTGCGACTCCATAGACATATGTATCATGTTTCACCTGCAGGATAGAGAAAGGCAAGAAATCGGTTCAATCAAACAAAGAAAAGTTTCATCCTTCATTGCAAATAATTAGTTTCTTCTTCTGTTTTGGGGAAATTAAAGGGAATTTGAATGGATGGTGTAGAACAGGCAGAGGAAAAACCTCTTGAATCCCAAGACCAAAGCTGGTTTCTCTGCATGCATTATACTCAGGCTGCTGATCCCAGCTGAAGTGCTCTCTGAAGTGAAGTCGAAGGCACAGAACCCACCAATATCAGTGTCTGGGGTAAGAGATGGATTTGGACAGCAAACAGGATCATCAGCATGTGTTATGGCCATCATCTCACGACTCCTTCCAGCTCCAGCGACGATATAAACTGGACCGCAAGGATCCAGAGTGCAGTTGTGAGCCCGGTGAAATTCATCTTTGTAACATGTCATTGAAGCCTACAACTCCATAACTGTACAGCAAGTCCTCCATCTCAACTGTCATGCACTCAGCAGCTATTGCTACCTGAAAGTTCTGACCAAGACGGATGCCAAGCTGCTATCACCCATGGGGTCTGGCCTCTGTCGACACTGTACAAGTCTGTTTCTAGCCATTTATACTGGTCAGCTGTATGAAACGGATATATGATGCAAAGGAAAGCACAGGGATGAGTAACGTATTCACCAAAGAATATGACTAACCTTGCCGCAACAAGTCTCAGATTCCCAACCGAAATTTGGCCCTAAAGGCACTTCCTTCATGTTCAAAATGCAACGACTCAAGACCTTGTGAAGTCTTTGTGATCCATAGAGCATATGCTATGCAGTCCTTTCTTAATAGCTGATTGGATCCAACATCCATTGTTCACCGGAGCCCATCTCATGACTGTTAATAAGCCTCTACCACCTTGTCTCTTGGTAATAAGCAGATCACCTTCAGGGCTTCACATGGAACTGAGGAATGTGTTCCATCCATCACAAGGGCAGAAGGGTGATTGGGTGAAGCAGCATCATCAATCCCTCACCAATAATCCTGACACGAACAAGATCCATCTTTGAAATGATGGAAACGGTTTCGATCCCGGATAATGATTTCTCTCTCGAATTTTCTCGAAGCATGCTTCATGAAGGAATGACAATCATGACATGTCCTCAGATTTTTCATGATCCTGATTGTTCTTCTCCTATCTGTGAAGTTCAGAAGGGCGAATGAAACTGCCAGCTTTTCACTGTGAAACCCAACACTCTGCTCCTTCTCCTCGTCCTCAATGTCGTGGAACACACTTGACTTGTGCGGCTCATAACCTTCAACTCTGAGATTATCGATTATCTGCTGTAAGAAGTCTCTGACTTTCTGTGTATATACCAGACGATGAGCATCATCGCCTCCTGATAGAAACTCATGAATCTCATGACCCACGACAAGCAAACTACGGCCAGGGGTTTTGGCAATTCTCTTGTCTTGCATTGCAGCTCTCAACTCTGCCTTCTTGGCGTATGAACCAGTTCCACCATAAGCGTTTGATAGAAGCACATAATCCCCATCGTGATGAGGATCTAGCTGAGACAGTTTCTGCTTCACTTGGTCTGCCAATGCAAGATTGTCACCATGCTTCACACAAGCTCCCAGCAAGGTCCTCCAGATGACAGCATTTGCTTGACAGGGCATATCTTGTACAAAATTAAAAGCATCATCAACTAAGCCAGCACGGCCAAGGAGATCAACCATGCAACCGTAATTCTCTAGAGTTGGTTCCATACCATATTCTTCCTTAATGGAACGAAAAATCTGCCAACCGTTGTTAACAAGGCCACCATGACTGCAAGCGACTAAAGCAGCACTAAACGTGATGTGATCAGGCCGCAAACCAGCTCCCTCCTTCATCTCACGGAACAATCTCAACGCTTCCTTGCTGCGACCATGCACCGCTAGCCCGTTAATCAATGCAGTCCAAGTCCTCAAATTTCTCGCAGGCATCCGTTCAAAAACTCTCATCGCATCATTTATAGACCCGCAACGTGAGAACATGTCAATCAATGCAGTACCTAATGCGACAGTGAGCTCCAACCCATTTCTGGATATATAAGCATCAACCCACCTCCCCAACTCCACTGCTCCGAGGCTTGAAATGGCAGAAGCCAAGCTAAGCAGCGTAACCTCATCAGGCTTCACACTGCCATCAATCTGCATCTGTTGAAACAGAGCCAGGGCCTCTTGCACAGAGCCGTTATCGACAAAGCAAGCAATCATCGAAGACCAAGAGACCAGATCCTTCTCAGGCATTTCCTCAAACACCTTCAAAGCATCTGCCACCCTGCGGCATCCACCATAAACCCCGATCAACGCGTTCTGCACATAGACATCGGAATCGAAACCCATCTTCAGAATCACCGAATGAAGATGCATCCCCAGCCGGAGACGAGCGCAGGCCTTGAGAACGAACGGGAAAGTGAAATGATCCACCGACACGCCAGGACGGCGGCGCATGTTGCAGAAAAGGGAAAGAGCCAAGAAAGGAGAGGTAGCAGCATGAGCTCGAATGAGGGTGTTGTACGCAACGGTCACCCCGCCACCAAACAGTCGACTCCTGAGCATTCCCGGTAATTCCCTGTTTGTTTTCTTGTGAATCTCAGCTTAGAAAATCATTTTCTTAGCATTTGCTTCGTTGCAGCTTGGCGCCTATGAAGTTGAATCAGACTCCAAAAAATCTTGTCCTCGAGCTCTATGGGACTATCCCTTTAGCCGCACGAATGTAATGGCTGGATATATATGCTGCTCCATCTTTCATTTTGGACTGTTTGTCATTTGATCTGAGCCATTTGGCGGCAAAATAAAGCACCTGGGTGACTTGCCCTCGTTACCGTCCCAAAAAAAAAAAAGGAATCTTCAAGCTGTATACAGACATAATCTACCTAGTACGCTTCAAAAAGAGAGGAAAAAAGATTTCCCAGTAGTGGAATCGCTTTGATTCCTTTCCTTCTCGACCACCCAAACAACCCACTGAGTCAGTCAACCACTACTCAGTGTCCCACCATTCCCCTTCGACATAATTGCTTCGAGGAGGAAGAAGAATAGTACCATTATAATTAACAGTGACCGCGTCTTGAAGCTGCCACAGTTTTCTTCATTCACACTCTATTCCTTCCTTCCCCATTCTCTCTCTGTTTCTGTACATCTCTCTCCCAATCTCAGCCTCCCCTGTTTCTAGTTCAGGACCCTGAATCTCGCGATGAAGGAAACAGACAGAAGAATCGTGGTGGACGAGGAATTCGTGCATCAGGAAGAGAAGCATTTCACCGTCTCCAAAACTTCCTTGTTCTTCGCCAACGACGGATTCACCGTGTACGACTGCAGCAGCGGCGAGTTGGTCTTCCGGGTCGACTCGTACGGGCCCGACGCCCGGGACAGAGACGAACTCGTCCTCATGGATGCCCACGGCCGCTGCTTACTCACTGTCCGGAAGAAGGTAAAACCCCAATTCACAAAACACTCTCTCAATCTCAATCCCTAATTTGATTCCCGAGTTTCTTCTTTTTTTAATTTCCCCCCACTTTTGGCAGCGGCCGAGTCTGCATCAGCGGTGGGAAGGATTTCTCAGGGAGAGGAAGGAAGGGCAGAAGGCGATGTTCAGCGTGAGGAGGTCGTCGATGATCGGACGGTCAGGGATGAGCGTGCAGGTGTACGACAACCCAGGGGAGGAGTACGAGATCGAAGGGAGCTACGGGAGCCGGAGCTGCACGGTGGTCGACGCGGCGAGGGGAGCGGCGGTGGCGGAGATCCGGCGGAAGGTTGATGCGTCGACGAACGTGGTGCTGGGGAAGGACGTGTTCTCGCTGGCGGTGAAGCCCGGGTTCGACGGGGCGTTCGCCATGGGATTGGTGCTGGTTCTCGATCAGATCTGCGGCGGTGATTTGGCGGAGGATGACGGTGATGGTGCCGTTGGTGTTGTTCACGTGGGACACGAGGAGGAGGTGGATAGCGGGCCGCTTGTTGTTGATTCGAAAGCAATGGATCGGTAGCTTTGGGCCTTGTAGTTATGGGCTTTCGGCAGCTGCTAGGGCGGGCCATGGAGCCTGTTTCCTTAGGTAGTTCGGCCTCTAAAAGGAAAAATAATGAAAGACTAATTTGAAGCTAAAAGTGTAGTCCAGTAGTCCTACAATGCTGGTATGCTACAAGGTGTCCACGAAACCGTACCGTACCGGCGGTTCAACCACAAAATACCAGTATTGGAGGCTAAACCGGTAGGCGGTATTTACCGGCATAATGATTGAATTACGGTTAAACCACGGTTTTACCATAAAATACCGTACTGCTAACTTTCCCGGTATGATTTCCGGTACGGTTTCATGGACTTATGCTAGAGACTAGAGTTACATGGCTAATTATAATAAAAAATAAAAATGGAATCCTATCAAATTAGGGTTAACCCTAAAAGGCTGAAAACATTATATAGCAAAATGATTGGATCTCGAATTAAACTGCAGCAGCACGAAGTACGTAATTTTTCTGAGATCGTTGATGCTAACTTCGCCAACTATCATCTTTATGATTTTATGTTGAGATCTGAATAATCACTTTACAAAACGCTTTCTACAACCACACACACGAAACTTCCTATAAAAAAACTGCTACGAGTGTAGTCATTGATTCAGATCCAAACAAATCATTGGGAGTGTTTCGACTTTCGTGGACTTAAATCGTTCTTAAATCATATTTTATTTTCTTAATTTTCTTTATCTCGAATTTAATATAAGAAAGTTGCACAACATTACTATGGCTAATGAATTGAATGGGATACATTGTAGAATTATTGTGCCCTAAGAGGTATAAGGGCTTAGAAAGGGGGAAACAAATTATTATGTGGTCACAGAAGGAATGATAGATCCAACGAAAAAGCTTCTAACTTTGATTCTTGGGGTTGTCCAATCTCGACCTCCTCTGAGTAACACAAAAGAACCAACAAACATAACAAACATAAGATATCAAGATATCTTTCTGGGTTCTTCTTTCACAATCCGTATCCACAACTAAGTTGAAATTTGTTACTGTACCTTAGCTTTAACAGGGCACTTCTCTGGCTGCCTGACAATGTAAAGCTGATCCCCTGGAGAACTATACATGTCCTGATTCCGGTGCCACGTCCACAGCGCATGGGTCTCATTTTTCACCTCCAGAATGCCATGGCCGAAGCTCGATTCTCTATACGCACTGTAATCCGGCTGTCGGTCCCAACAGAAGCTGCCTTTCGCCGGTCCTGAAGTGAAGTTGAACGCACAGAAACCTCCCATGATCTGGTCCGGTGTCGTGGCCGGGTCAGGACAGTTACCAGGCTCGTCAGCATGTGGGATCGCCATCTTCTCTCGGTTCCCACCGTCGCCCACGGTTATGTAGACCGGTCCGCAAGGATCGAGCTCGTAGTTGTAGACGCGGTTCGATCTCTCGTAGGCATGTACCTGCAGAGATTCATCAACATTGTCATTCAACCATCTTCCCCCATCTGTCCAGCATACAATGTACATACTTACATGTCCATTGAAGACCATATCGACCCCGTGCTTGTAAAGCAAGTCTTCCATTGCGACCTTCATGCACTCTGCCTCTCTGTAATGTGCAGCGTAGCTGCTGTACCAAGGCGCGTGCCACGTAGCCACGACCCAGGGGGTCACCTTTCGGTCGACGCTAGCCAGATCTTTCTTCAACCACTTGTGCTGATGTGCTGCATAAGAATGAAATTAATCAAGTTTACAGCTCATATGATTCACTAACTAGCTAACTACATCTGCTCACTAGCTTTGTGTGTTCTGTAAAACGTACATTTCTTGTGGTAACCAATGTAGGAACCAAGCATCACGAAATGAATCCCTCCGGCATTGAAAGAGTAATACATCGTGGAGTGCGATTTGCTCTCTTCCGAAGGGAATGCGAATCGAGCGCTGTAGGACTCGAACACCTTCTTCTTAACCTGCGTTTCTAGTTCGTGGTTCCCTTCGATCACCATGATCGGGACCCTGGAGATCACCGGCTGCATGTACCTTCCCCAGTAGTCCCAACGAGGCTGGTGGGTTTCGTGGATCGGACTATCGGGGAAGGCACAGGTGTAGCAATCTGCGCCCGTTCCATTCGTGAGGTACAGGTTGGCATAACTGACGTCTCCAACCAGCAAGATGAGATCAGGATTGTTGGAGGCCATATGGTCGACTGTGGAAGTGGTGTTGTAAGTGAGGCCCAGGTCTCCCACGATGGCAATTCTGGTAGGGTAGCTCTGCGAGGACGAAGCTGGCATCGTGGTGAACGAATGTACATCGCTCATCGCTGATATGGAAGGGTCGCCGCATTGGTAGAAGTAAGTGGTGCTCGGATTCAACCCTAAAATATGAGCAGGAGTATGTCAATTCAACTTGTGAACTACCAAGATATTAAGTTGCAGAACAAATGGATTGGATTGGGGTTTGAACTTTGAATGTATGTACCTTGAAGACGAACATGGTGGATGATTCCAGAGGTGTAGTTCTGGAGTCCTTCGAAAGGGTACAGCTGACTGTAAACAAGGGAATTCCCATTAGCTACATTGCTCAATGACGAGTTGGTGGTTCCATATTTCACCACGCTCGCTACAGTTTTGGGGTCCAATGGCTGAATCTCCTCCCCAATTTGGAAATCCCCTGCATCCACACAAGAAGAAACCCAGCTCATTTTGGCGAAAACAAAGAAACAACAAAGAAGGACAATCAAGAAGATGGATGGGAATGGAGACCTGTGATCCAAGAAATCCAAACGGAGTCATGGGTGGCAGAGAGGGAGACGGAAATCTGCTCAGGAACGAAGCCCGTGACATTCCTCTGCACACGAGGGTCGGTGGGGGGCAAGTCGACGGCGTTACCTCGAAAGCTTGTGTCCAGAGGGATGGTGACAGGCTTGAATGGTCCATCCAGAGTCGACGGTATGCCGCCGGCGTCGATTGTTGAGGAGAAGCAGCAGCTGCTTATCACCAGTAAAAGAAGAACAAGTGTTGCTGGAGACGAGCTGATGAAACCCATCTCCGGGGAGGATTTGTGGAATGGAGATGAAAGTTGGCGGGATGAGGAACCATGTGAAGCAGAGATGAGGTATTTGTAAGGAAGAAGAGAGGTGATGGATAAGAGACATGGAAGCAGAAAGGATAGAAGAAAGAATAGTAACAGTGAGGAAGGGGTTTTGCAGTTGCGGCACGCGGCCAACTCTGGCGGGAAAAGGCCAAGGGAAGGGAGAGGAAGGATGCTGCAAGCTTGTTCAATATGAATCCAATTCCAAACTGAAAGTAATGCTGCTTTCTTGACTTTTACTTTTTGTTTTCATTTCTTTTATGGTTTGCGAGAATGCTTTCTCTCGTTTTTAGTTGACATGTAATGTCAGGTATATTTTGGACAGATCACGTAGTTCATAGTTCATACCTATCTTTAGAACACAAATGGAGAAAAAGGAGTCGGACAAGAAAGTCTCCCGGCACGCAAAGGACCACAGACTTGCTCTTGAAAACAGGGGCAGTTGCCAGGTTTCTCATGTCGAGGTCATCGTGCTTAACAGTTCGAGTATCAGACTAGATCGAGAGTCACCATTTACGTATTTACGAGTCATTTTCGATATGAAAGGATCCTTCGGACAGGCCAAAAGATGGGCACACCAGGTAGAGTTGATGAATTCCTCATCATGGTTAACATTTCACGCTCTGCTATATTCATCAACATCGTGGATGAATTCCTCATCGACCCTAGCTCTTGGTTTAGATGGGTTCACAAGGAAGTTTCACTACAAGGACTATTTGAAGAGAGGAAATCTCATGGGAAAAGCCAGGTAGATGACTCGTAAGATGGATACGGGAGAGAACAACTACAGTAATTTCATACAGCACTCATATCGGGAGCTCAACCAAGTCATAAACCACAAAAGAACCAAGGATGAATTGATGTCAAAGCCATCACCAGAAGGACTGAGAACTCATAATTATTGGCTTGTAGACTTAATTCTGAGCAGAAATAAGGACTTGAAACATACTATATCAAACTGACGAACACCAAGATCCTACGTTAACTACCTGAAAGGATGCAACCTTACTCTCGAACAATCCATGAAGAAACTCCTGCAGTGCAGTAGCCGCGAGGTATGGGGCTAGGTGTTGTGTTTACAAAGTGTTCACCATTCTCTTCATCTCCGCAGACCTCCTTTGATCGGGCTCTTCAATTGCCCTCTCGGTGAGCACTTGCTTGATGCGACACATTGACTTCCTCACCTAAGGTTTCACGAATCATACGGAAAAGATCAGACATGAGAGGTTTAGGAGCACGGCATTCCATAACAATTCATTTAAGGAATACCACCCAAGCAGTTACAGGAACAATATTGTCTCAACAAAAAAGTAGCGAAATCAGATAACTTTGCTCGTGGTAGCAATTTCACAGGCATGCATCAAAATCGTTTCACGAACGAAAAATAGAAAAAGAAAGGGGGAAACAGAAGGGAAAACAATGCAAAATCTTCAAGCTTAATAGCAGCTGACAAGAGAAATGAATTTCAGCTTAATCTTGACCAGAAGTCCAGAAGTATATGAAATCATCTCTAACTAACAAATTAACTCTGACATAAACTGTGCGACTGTAGTTTTAGCAGCCAAGAAAAATGCAACTTCATAGTTGTACTAAACGGAGAATAAAGAGCGAATACATACCTTTGGCAAGCGCTCGGGATTAGGAAATCTCAAGTTTTGAGAATGAAGCATCTGACGTTGAGTCATCAGCATGTTTTTCTCCTTTAGAAGGACATACCATAGCTTCTGTAAATCATCCCAAGACTTCAACCGCAGTTCAGAAGCTTTCCAACTTCGACCTGGTCAGGGAAAATTGGTCGAGAACATGTAAGGCATGGAGCATACCATCTTCAAAGTTTTTGCAAGATTATAGTTTGACATCACTAAAGACAGCTATAGAACCAATGTAGCTTGTACATTTCAGCTAACTACTAGCAAAACCAAAAAGTAATTCATGTAAATCAAATCGTACCAAGCTACCATAGACACACAAGCAAAGGCCCACATACCATATACGATAGGCTTATCGTCATCTTGGATCCTATCTTTCTCAAAGAATTCCTCAAGAGGATTATGCCCAGACCTAGCCGTTGTAGCACCAGCAGCAGCTGCTGTTGTTGAATAAGTTTCAGAATGAGCAGCAGCAGCAAAGAGCCTTCTCCCGAAAAGTCTTGCCAACAACATGCTTGATTAGTGATTACTATCCCTGCAAATCCCCAAAACCCCAAAACCAAACAGAACGAATGAACACTCTGTTGTCAGCCAGAACCTACAAAATCATCTAAACACTCAAAAGTCCAGCTATGGTTCTCGCGAGTCGCCAATTTCATTTGGCTTTCCTAAAACCCTCCTCCCCCGTCAATGCTAGAAAACTGTTAAACTAAAACAATCACCAAAACCCCAAACCCAAGAATCGAAACATTACGGAGAAAACACACATGGATCAGTAACTTCCAGACGGAATCAAAACGCCACTCGGTGATTTCCTTGCACGAGGTTAGACATGAAAAGAGACCCAATCAAGAATTCAGAACGATTTGGGGGAAACACTACTACCTATGGAATTAGAAAACTTGCAGAGCCGACACAGAGGTGAGCGAGATGGGAGGCCGGAGGAGGAGACGGGAAGCAGGGCGGCGGGAGGCGATACGACTGGCTAAGAGGCAGAGGTAATGAGGCTGCGAGTGATGGCTACTACTGCATCGAGAGTGGCGGCGACCGGTGGGTGCTTTGGAGAAGAATGACGAGTTAAGGACTGTGTCGACTCGGGGCGGCGGCGGGACGTTGGGAGAAAATGGGCACCGGGAGGGGAAGGACGAGGTCTCTTGAGTCTCGGGTCTCGACGGAGGTGGGAGAGGGTGTGAATTTGGGCCCGCAAGTTGGCACTCCAAAACCATAATGGGCCAGCCCAATTTGATCTGGCAAGGGATGGATGACCCAAGACCCAGTTCTCAATAAATCACTTGCACATAAGTCAACACAAAGAAAGAACTGATTGAAACCCATTACATCAACAACCATGAAATAGTCTATCTATTTCATATGTGACTTTTACTATCACATTCACATATACAATTTCATATTTTAACTTTCATTTCATCTACATCCATGAAATCTATCTTCAATTTCATACGGTGGGCTCGATACATATTTTCAATACGACTAAATAATTTATATACTCTAACCAATTGAAGTGAACTCACTTGCTACCTCATTTCCAATTTCATTTGCTCTTCCATCTAATGAAATATTTCATCATTGAAATAGGTGGCTACAACTACAATCATGAAATGGCAAATGACATTGCCATGTCACTTTGAAATAGGGAAAGTGACAGACCGATGCAGCTGCTCTTACTAACCAACAAAATTAACTACCTTATTACTAACCTTATCGAAAAAAACTGAACCTCAAACAAATAAAACACCAGACGAAACCGACCAACCTCCTCCAAGATGGCCTCACCGTTGACATCTCATGTGTCCCACTGATTTACCTTCTCAAGTACAATCTTGGAGTCCCCTTGCAATTGCCATTTTGTATATCAATATGGACACACCAAGGGAATGCATCACGCAATGTCGCAAACTCCACAATAGCAGGATTATAGGTGGCAATTAGGATCCAAATCCATGAATCCAATCCAATCCAATCCATCCACCAAATTATCCACTTAATCCAATCCATTTAAATCCAATCCATTTTATCCAAATCCAATTGGATTGGTGGATTCATGGATCAATCCATGGATCCAAATGACAAATTACGATTTGGTAGCTATATTTTTTATATTTTACATTTTGGTACCTAAAATTTATATTTTTATACGAAAAAAATTATTGGAAAATTACTTTTTGGTACCTAAAATTTTTCATTATGACATTTTAGTACCTAAACTTTTTAAAATTTACATTTTGATCCAATTCTTGGATGTCATTTGGATTCATGGATCAATCCACCAATCCATTGGATCCAATCCATGAATCCACCAATCCATTGGATCCAATCCATGAATCCATGGATCCACCAATCCAATCCACGAATCCGATCCAATTGCCACCTCTAAGCAGGATCCTGTAACTCCACTCCAGACAAAGAAACTCTTACACCATAAATTAAGCTAATTCATCAATTCCTTTTGAGTATAATAAATCTATTATCGTATATAATGTAACTAGCGTGGGCCCCGGCCATTTGGCCGGAGGAAGGTGTATGAAATTTGATAATGTAATGGAGTGTATAGCTTATTGTTGTATACTTTTTTTTGAGGGAAACACGTGATAAAAATAGTGAATTTTAGTAGGAAAGAGACATGAATGATGCAACGAATAAAAAATCAGCCTTATGAACCAAAATCAAGTACCTGTTGCCTTGTGAAACAATATTGTTTCTGGTAATATGATGAGGTGGAGTAAGTTTTATAGAAACCGAATTCCAGAAAATCGAATAAAAAATCGCCTATCCCGCCGGTTTTCGGGAAATGAGCATCTCACAATCGTTGCTAGCTTTTACTCGGTCCGTTGGCCGATTAATTTGTTTTATAAAACTTTCATCTTGTCATCATTGTGCTTTCTGGTTTTTTGCCAAGCCATGATAAAATCTAAAGAAATCAAGAGTGAACAACACGATTTAGGATAGGAACCACCGTTCCTGTATCCCTAGAAAATGGTGGTAAACACGGACTCACCTGCCAAACTGGTTTGTATTGAGATTTTTATCGGGTATCAGGGAACCATGTGATTATAAATTAGACTTGATCAAAACAGGCCTAAATTTGAAATTCTGCATGTTTGACCGACCCATGCCAACCTCTAATTATTCTTTACTTTTAAACTTTCTATTTGAAAATAAAAAATAATGAAAGAAAAGAGATGACTGCAATTCGCCATTTACACATCACTGATTCGGGAATAAAGCTATAGAATTTCTAAAGGAAACTGAAAATGTTTAGAATCGTTTGAATGAAATTAATGTTAAAAATAACCAAATAGATCTTTCTGTTTAGTTTTTTACTAACAAATATCAAACGATTCCCTATAATATACACTATAATTTAATCATTATGATATCAAATAATTACATAATATATATTTGAAATGATAAAAATTGAACTAATTGGGTTGGTCGAGGTTCATTGAATAACTTTAAAATACATTATATTTTAGCCACTAAGATATAAAATAATAGCATAATATATATTATGCTAGAGAAAATAGCTTGTTTTAGAATGGCAAACCCATGATGTTTATTTGTATTACTTGATTGGCAAATCCCGTGTAGGTCAGACCTATTCAACTCTTTTATTTATGATTAGCGGTTAGCCCATTAGAATCCATGCATTAGTTTATTGTTAAATTTTTTTCTTTTTAGCAATAAAAAGGAGTATTGTTTTTGCCTTTTCATATATATTTTACCACCACGGAGAAATAAAGGGACTTAAAGAACAAAATTGACACTCCCGGACCCGTTTAAATCCGCTTGTGTACGGTAAGTTGGCCCGTTCCACAGAGAAAAAAGGAAAAAATTGACACTCCCTATTCTACCTTTCCTGCAAACGCTCCTGGAGCAGGAATTTGAAATAGGGGAAGGGTTTTTTCCTCACTGCGATTATATATTTTCAATTTAAAAAGATACAACAAACGTACTTAATGTGATTGGTTATGATCTTTGCTTTTCTTGAAAGTGGCCATGGTTCGAATCCTAGTAAGTGTCTTTTTAATGAATAAAAAAAAGTAATTGTGAAGACCAAAATACCCTTCCTACTTTCACTCTGGATACAGGAAATTTGAAATGGGACTTCAAGTTTTCTCATTTGGCTTTTATTTATTGTGTAGATGTTAATGATTCTCAAAGTGCCATGAAAAACTGAGTGAGAAAGTGAACCAAACCCATAAGGATTTGGGTGAAAAATGGATTCGATTGGGATTTAATTGGACATTTGCTTTGGTAGTTACAATCTTAACATCATTTTAATGTTTAATCTTAACATCAATGTCTTTTGTAGTGATGACATTTGCTTTGGTAGTTACAAAGTCATGGTTTCAACACATGGATCTCTTAGGTAGATTTAATAGTGATTTACCTTAAGACATTAGATTGAGTATAAAAAAAAAGCCACAAAGATAGCCCAGAACTGATCCACTGAGTCCTCACAAAAGACCAAAGTGTTATCACCATCATAAACCGGAGTTACCATATAAAATACCTTGGAGAAATTCTAATATCTAAGCTGATCCAAAAACTTAGAAAGAACCTCCATAACAATAATGATAAACAAGAAAGGTTTAAGAGAGTTGCATTGCCTCAAATTAGACACATCCTTACTAGTTTCGCTCTTTGGAACCAAACAAACGAAAGTACTATTAACCATTATGGGAATTGGGAAGGGTCTCTTGCTCGAAGAAAATTTTCTTAGCCCACATCATGGTTAATGACTAGTAAGTGTCTCTTAAAAACACCACATTGAAACCATAAGGGTGATGGATTCTTATCACCATTACTACTAATTAAAACCACGGCCGAGAGATTCTACAAAGGAAAATCATCCCCACACACCACACGAACTCAAATCTCATCCCTACTCCCTGTAATAATCCACTACTCGCCTTCATTCGCAATCCAAATATGATCATCCTACTCGTAACTCTCCGTGATCTTTTTAACAATGACTCTTGAAATCGTACATTCAGAATGTTTTTATGGTAAAAAAAATATGAAGAGTCATTAATTTAAGGCTCTCACTTGCATCCTAAAAATATCATATTTTCATTGATTCTTCTTTTTCTTTTTACCATTGCACATAATAGAAAATACAAAACAAGACTCAAAATCTAAGCAAAGCAATTCTGACTTCTGAGATACCCACGAATCGCGAGGGTGAAACAGAGATCATTGTTATAAAAATTCGAGGAAAGGAAACAAAGATTCTAGACATTGAACAAGGGAGAGAGATTAAAAGGAAGAAGAAAACCAAACAAAAAAAATTCTTCGTAGTATTGTGCTGGATCAATTGAGGATCGAGAAAAGATTTTGGTTCTCTTTAGATTTCGATCCCATAACTTTACTGGGAAAAAATACAAAGATTTTTCCGGTTGATTCCAAACACATTGCACAACAGATGGAAGTATAAGAAACTATTAGAAAAGAGAGACAAAGATAGGAGGGATTTTTTGTAAGTAGTCAACATATTAAACAAGCAGCAAGATGAATATATTTAGGCTTGCAGGGGACATGACACATTTAGCCAGTATCCTTGTTCTCCTCCTCAAGATCCACACCATCAAATCTTGTGCAGGTAAATCTTCTTATTCTTCTTGTTCCCATATGAGATACATTCTTTCATGTACGTGTTATCGTAATAAATATGATATACAATGGGTGCAGGAGTTTCTTAGAAAACTCAGGAGCTCTACTTTTTGGTGTTCGTCACACGTTATTTGGATCTTTTCACGCATTTCATTTCGTTGTACAACACGACCATGAAACTGATATACCTAGGAAGTGCGTTCTCTATCATTTGGTACATCAGGCACCACAAACTGGTCCGGAGGTCGTATGACAAGGATCAAGACACATTCCCGCGATCTTATCTCATTGTCCTCTCCTTCGCTTTAGCTGTCTTTGTACACGAGAAACTCACATTCAAGGAGGTACACACGCTTTTAGAGCCATTTGCCATTTGTTTATTCCTAATGACTATAAGTATATAAAAATATGCATGATCTTTTTGCATTTCATTTTGTTCTTGTCAAACTGGCCGCTCAATTAGTAAGATATTGTTCGCTTTGGGCCAAGCCTGCACGGGTTTACTCTTGGGTGTCCTCCCCAAAAGACCTCATACTAATTGGGCTAGATGGACACTAATATACAAGGGTTCCTTCCTGTGTATTTCCGATGTGGTACTTGGATTGTCCCATAACAATCATTTCCTCAAGCCAAGGTCCACGAACTTCGTGTCCTCACCTCAATGATTATCTTGATCCGCCAGACACCTGAACTCTCTTTGATCCGCCAAACAAACATGGATCTCTCATGGATCCACCAAACATCCCAGGACGCAGATCTCCCTTGATCCGCCAAACAGACGCGTATCGCAAATCCCGAGGCCACCGAAGGACCACCGAACTTCGTGTCCTCTCCTCAACGATTATCTTGATCCGCCAGACGCCTTGTATTGATGGGATTCTCGGTACAAGGACTTTATCAGACGCATAACTCTCTTTGATCCGCCAAGCCCAAACGTGGATCTCTCCTGGATCCACCAGACAGACGCAGATCTTAAATCCCGAACTCTCTTTGATCCGCAAAACAAACATGGATCTCTCACGGATCCACCAAACATCCCAGGACGCAGATCTCCCTTGATCCGCCAAACAGACGCGGATCGCAAATCCCGAGGCCACCGAAGGACCACCGAACTTCATGTCCTCTCCTCAGCGATTATCTTGATCCGCCAGACACCTTGTATTGATGGGATTCTCGATACAAGGACTTTATCAGACGCATAACTCTCTTTGATCCGCCAAGCCCAAACGTGGATCTCTCCTGGATCCAACAGACAGACGCGGATCTTAAATCCCGAGGTCTACTGAATGAGGGTCCACCAAACTGACGTCCACCGTCCCCAACCGAACCAGATTCTGATACTACTTGTCAAACCGGGTTGCTCATTAGTACGATATTGTCCGCTTTGGGCCAAGCCCGCACGGTTTTACTCTTGGGTTCCTTTCCAAGAGGCCTCGTACTAATTGGGCTAGGTGGACACTAATATACACGGATTTTTCCCCTTATATTTCCGATATAGTACTTGGATTGTCCTATAACAGTTCTATTCGTGACCATCAAACCATATATTCATCCACTTGTTTCAAATTACATTGCATTTCCATGTATGAATTCAAATGGGTCGATTTTCTGGTATTGTTGTGGCAGGTAATGTGGACATTCTCGTTGTATTTGGAAGCTGTTGCAATACTGCCCCAACTTGTGTTGCTGCAGAAGACTAGAAATATAGACAACTTAACAGGACAATACGTTTTTTTACTAGGGTAATGTACAATAATAATACCCGTAATAAGGAAAAGGATAAAGTACAAAATAGATGACTGCAAAACCTACAAAATCTCCTTTTTTGCCAGTACTGATGATATGATTCGTATTAGGAGTGGTAGGACGCGAGTTTGGTAGGTTTTGTGGCCTCTAAATTTTATATCGTATTCCAAACTTTATAGTAATAATTAATTTCTTTTCTTTTTCTTGTTTCAATTTGTAGCGTATTTAATGACACGAGACGTTCGAACATTGGTGATAATGCAGGTCATACAGAGCATTGTACATATTAAATTGGATTTACCGCTACTTAACTTAACACCGATCTATTCATTGGATAAGTAGGTCACTAATCACCTGAATTAGTCTTCTTAATCAAGCCAAGTAGCCAACACTACTCTCTGTCAATAAGCTAATTACTTCTTTCTTTTTTAAACTATGGTTTACAGCTTGGGTATCAGGACTGATTCAGACACTCCTCTATGCAGATTTCTTTTACTATTACATTCAGAGGTAAGATAGATATTTGATGCTAGGCCTATAAGGTCGTATACGTCAAGGTTTTCGTCATAAAAAAATATTATGGACCAAATTTCTTTAAATTTTTTGACCTTACTGTTTTTTGGGTTTGGGCAGCTGGAGGAAGAACGTAAAGCTTGAGTTGCCCGCTTGAGCTTCAGCTAGCAGATGAAGCTGTGAGAGGCCTGGGTTGAGGATATGGATTTTTTAGCTCTGCTTTTAGTGAATGATTTTGTATATATATAGATATGAAGTTTTGTTTGTAAATTAGAACTCCAATTTGGTGGGATCTCAAAATAGAAGGTTGTAAAAAAAAATTCCATTGCTTTTGTAAATGAAATTACAAGTCATGTTGTTCTTTTAGTTTTTACTTTTTAGAATAGTTTCAATCATTCTGGACTTTGTAGGTATTATGACTTTCTAGCTAGACAATTGTCTCCCAAGCAACCTAACAATTTTTCATGGTAGGAATCTGATAATATGGTTTGAATTGAACTCCAAATAAAGGTTTTTTTTTCTAAGATTTTCACAGACAGTGTCATTGCGTCAATAATCTTACCTTGCGATCAATTTCATTGATTATATTATACGAACCGTGAAATAATTTGTGTGGACTTACATATACCAGTCGATGTACCAGCAATATGTGAACCGTCTCCATTTGAAATTGTCATATGAGAATAGCTCCTCGAAATGCTTCTTTCCAATGATAGTTGATTGATAATAATCCCTAACTCTCCTTTTCCTTGCCATTGCCATTGCTTTCAAGTTAAGTAGAAGCGACTTAGGTATACTTAACCCAAATCACAATACCCAAAACCCTAATGATCAATAATAATCCACATCCATTCCCAATCCATGAAATCGCAACAATTATTCACACCTATCATAAACGCAAGAGGGAACAACTGAACAAGGATTAAGAAAAACCACGAAATTGAAATTTCGCCTAACGCCGCTACCGGCCGGAGAATAGAACATCTTCTACAGATCAAGCGACGGCCGCCGAGGAGCCAACGACGACGACAACCGCGGCGGAAGAGTCACTGTAGAAGTTACGGAGGTCGGGGACGAGGTCGTGGATCTCGTCGGAGAAGTGACCGATGATCTCGCAGCAGAGGTCGTGCTTGCTCATCCTCCCTCCCTTGTACAGCCTCCAGCACTCGACGAAAGCGCCGTACGCCGCCTCGTCCTTCGCCAATCGCTCCTTGATTTTGCTCTCCAAGTTCAATTCCACTGCTGACACCATCGTCGTCGCTGTACTCTGCTTCTTCTTCTGCTCTGAGTAGTCTTCTTCGAAATTGTCGACGGCGAGCGGCTGCAATATTCTCCGTTTCTGGTTCGTAGAAGCGGGCAGATTTGTTTATATATAGGTGTTAGGTGGAGTGGCGGAGAGGGCAGAGCTTGGTCCTTCTTGTTTTCCACGGAATCCTCTTGCTGTTTGAAAGAAGGAAAGACCGGTGGGGAGAGAGGGCAGCCCAACAATCAGAAAGCGGATCACGGGAAAAACGAGGACACGAAAAGGACAAAATTGTAAATAACTAAACATTCATTTTCCCTAGTCCGTTTGGGCCTTGGGTTTAGTTGTTGACAGCCGATCCTATAGATTGGGCCCGGCCCAAACTCCACTCAGCGGAAAATAATACAACATCCGTATTTTGGTACAAAATATCACAATTCTGAAAGTCAAAATGATATGTTAAAATTAAGGGAATGGATCAGGTCAGTAACCTTACGGTGAGTAATTATGAGTAACCCGCCCACATCAGCATGACATCAGCATTCTCTCTCCTGGAAAGCCTTTAATTTTCCCCTCCTTAATCTTTGACGAACGATTTCTCACTCGTTTTAAGTCGAAATTTAATTTTTTTTGCACAGTTAGATCAGATTAATTGTGCTCTTCAAAATGATATCCACTTTGATATATTTTTCGAACAAAAAAAATCGAGCCATTTTATACCAGTCTATACCATATGGTATTGACTGGTATTGAAATAAGAGCATACATATGGTTTGAAAAGCGTACCATGGTGGTATGACACAAACCAAAACTATAGGATGGTTGAATACATGATAGTAGAAGTATATTAATTGTCATTTACGACTTTTAACATTGTATACCATAAGATACCATAAAATACCACCCCGTACCAGGGTGGTATTGTATGGTATTGTGTGGTATTTTTTTGTCTTGTAATTTGTTCACCCAGAAATTTGTAGATCCAATAGATCATGATGAACTCGTCCCTGCTGTGCAAACGTTTTAAAAACGAATTAAAAACGAAGAAGATACCATATGGTATGCAGTTGGTACCGAGAGGCCAGAAATTTTTTCCTCAAAAAATATTGAAAATTGATCTCATTTTGTAGAGCACGATGAACTCGTTCCATCTGTGTAAAAAAAATAAAATCCGAGTCAAAACGAAAAAGATATGAGTCAATTAAGAAAGCTAGTGAAAATAAAAATGGACTTTAATTCTCCATCCTTAGATCTGGATTTTCTAAATGAAGGGTTCAGATTTGGTTATTGATGGGTGGTTATGCACCCTAACTTGAGCCTAAAATTAATGATAATATTAAAAAGATGGTTTGGGCACCCCTAATTTGAAGTATTTTATAGGCATGTAGGTTTAGTTTTTTTAATAAAACCTTAAACCTTTGTGGTGAAAGTTGAGGTGAGAAAAAGACTAATAAAACCTAATCAAAGTCTCAACTCAATTGAAGTGTCTTGAGTTTGACTGCAACTAAGGCAGTGGCATGGAGAAGGGAGGAAATGTCGATATCTCTGTTTCTTGCTTTTGATAGTTTTTTATTTGATAGATTGGAGGCTGAGAGATGACTAATGAGAATGTTCGCCTTTTGGTGTTTTGAAAAAAAGAAAAAAAAAAGATAGTGATGAGAGTGACACAGGAATGGTGTTTTGAAAAAAAGATAGTGACGAGAGTGACACAGGTAAAGGGATGACACAGGAATTGGGGTCGTTTGCTTGAGGATTTTTGTGATGGATTTGGTCATGGAATTATATCCATCATGGAGTTGAACCGAAATCCATCGTTTGTCTTAGGGAATTAGGGAGATGGAATTTGTGGGGCCCACCTCTTTTGGGGTTCCAAATCCGTGGACCCCACGGACTTGGAAGTTCCACCTCTTGAGGTGGGATTTGGGTGATGGATTAAAATCCATGATGGTAAATTACCTTTCTACCCTTAATTATTTCTTTAATTACAAATTTGTCCTACTTTAATTCAATGGTCATGCAACTGTAAACTTTTATAATTTCGTATTTTATAAATATGAGAATTTATCATTTCATTTTGTAATATCGTATTTTATTTAAATATGAATGTATATGTGATTTGTTAGATTCACCTAGAAACACTTTATGCTCATCTTGTACATTATTATTTGATTGATTGTCGGATTCCACATCGGTGAGTTAGCAAGAAGATGATGAGTTGTAGCAATAAAGCGAGCAATTGGCTGCAATTGATACATAATATTGCGTACATTATTAGATGAATTGTTAATTAGTGCCAAATTGTAATACATTTCTATATTTGTAGTTGGATTATTAATCCACATAGTGGTAAAAAGTTTAAAATTTCTTTCTATGTTTTGGATTAGTTTTAAAGGAAAGATTTGGATTAGAATATCGAAATATAATTAAATAAGGGTAACTAGGTAATTTGTATTTAATATCCACAAATCTAATCAAACAAAGTCCATAATCAAATCCATCAAGCAAACAATAGACTTGTTCAAATCCATAATGCCACCAAATCCATCATATATCCATAGTTTTCCAAACCCAGGTTTTAGCAAAACCCTCATTTTTCAAATCCATGAAGCAAACGACCAAATTTTAGGCTATGTTTAATTAAATAAAAAAATTTGATATTTTTAATGAATATATTATAATATTATATACCAATCTCAATCTCGAGAATATCAAATAATGCTGACTCAAAAGTCGACATACAATAATACGAAATAATATGATACCCTACTCTCTTGTAGATACTATAACAACACTCCTTTTGTTGTTATTGTAACAACACTAGTCTCCAACCAATAGGAAGCTAGGATTGTAATGACTTTTTATTAGATGAGTTGACCTAGTGTAAAATCAAAGCAGGGGTATAATTGTCATTATGAAATATATTTAAACAATAATAAAAATTTAAAAATAAAAAAAAATAAAAAAAAAATTTAATTTCCGGACCAAAATTTTGGTCGCCGGTCACCGGAATATACTTTTTTGTCGCCGGAATATGCTATTTTGTCATCGGAATATGCCACCGTCGCCGGAATATGCTCACCGTGGTCGGAATATGCTTACCGGCGACGGAATCTAGTCATCGGGGCCGGAATATGCCTATCGGCGCCGGAATCTACTCACTGACGGTCATCGGAGTTTGGTCAACGGGTTTCGTTGACCGGTCAATGGTCTTCGTTGACCGGTCAACGACCAACGACCACCGGATGTTATGGTCTGCATTGTGAGATTTATGGTTTGGTTTCTTATATTTTTGTATGTCTTTTGTGGTTTGCTTTATCGTGTTTGTGGTTTGTATTAAGAAGTTTATGGTTTGCTTTATCGTGTTTGTGGTTTGCATTGAGAAGTTTCTGGTTTGCTTTCAAAAATTTTGTGGTTTGAATTGAGGGGTTTCTGGTTTGTTTTAATATATTTGTGGTCTGCATTAGGACATTTATGGTTTGCTTTTTTGTGGTTTGATTTATTGTGTTTGTGGTTTGCATTAGGAGGTTTCTAGTTTGTTTTCGAAAATTTTGTGGTTTGCATTGTGAGGTTTCTGGTTTGTTTTAGGAGATTTGTGGTGTGCATTCGGAGGTTTATGGTTTGCATTAAGAAGTTTCCGGTGTGCTTTCGAAACTTTTGTGGTTTGGTTTGCGAGGTTTCTGGTTTGTTTTAATATATTTGTGGTTTGCATTAGGACGTTTTTGGTTTGCTTTACCGTGTTTGTGGTTTGCATTAGGGGGTTTCTGGTGTGCTTTTCAAAATATTTATGGTTTGCTTTGTGGGGTTTCTGATATGTTTTTAGCGAATTTGTGATTTGCATTAGGAGATTTACGGTATGTTTTTTGTGGGTTGTTTTATTGCGTTTGTGGTTTGCACTGAGAAGTTTTTTGTGTTAAAAATATTTGTGATTAGAATTACTAAACACCAATATAAACAATACAAATCATTGTATGAAATTGGTTTATCCACCCACTGCCACTAGACAATAATAGATTCCTAATTCACCTTCCCTTCTCATTCCTTACACTTCCTTCTTCTCACACCAGCAGAGTAACAATGGCTCCTACACCAAATTCATGAGATCCAAAAACGAAACTCAGAGCCCAAAACCTCCGACCTGCTAGTAATCGACCTTCACCTCAATGATTGACCCGATTTCGCCAAACCACATCTCCAAAATCAAACTCTGCCGCAACTCCTCCATCTCCGTCTTCTTCACCCGCCACCAACACAAGTTCTCGGCTGACTTTGCATGTTTGCGGAGTGGTGGGACGGCGAGATATTCATTGATGGCAGGCCGGAATTCCAGCTAATTCCCCCAATTGCTAAGCTGACAACAGGGGGAGGCGGCACCGAGGTCATCATCGGGAAGACACCGCATTTTTTGGTCCACCTGCAGTCCTGCATCAATAATCAGAAAGGACTACTGAGAACCCAATTTCACCCTCCCAATCCTGAACAGAAACCCTAATTCCCATATCTGAAATCTCCATCGAATTCGCCCAACCAAAAAAAGGGATAGCCAAGCAAGCAGGACATACACCAGTGGAGTCGAATAAGATTCGGGTCGGTAAACGGAACGAAGAGGTCCAGAGGATTACTTACTTCGACTTGTGCGGCGGCGGCTTGAACTTTCTTTTCTTCTGCTCCGGTTCCATTCTCGCCGGTTCTCGTACCAGTTTAATTTTACATCTGTCTTTCGTCTCAACTATCATCCTCAAACGGCAGTTCCGAGTAGCACGTCCAAGGAAAGGCTACTACTACTCATCATCCTCTGCTTCCAATTGAGATCAGCCATTTTGGAAGAGGGAGGGATCGGAATCGGACGAACCAACTGCTTATTGGGTTTTAAATTTGGTGTGCTCGTCGGCGATCCAAGCGTTAGCCTCTCGAACGACCCGTCGCCGGTGATTGGTATCGCGACCGGGAAATTGGGGACCGGAGGAAGCTTCCCGAGTTAGTTGCTGGTCTTGATCGGAACAGCCGCCGCTTCTTGATTTCAATGGATTAAATAGATTTTATTTTTATTTTTTATGTTAAATTACCCTATTACCCTTAATGAATCATGTTGTTACAGTAACAACAAAGGAGCTGTTGTTATAGGATCCGCTCCCCTTGTCTCTGCCATTCGCCTCCTTAGTCCGTACCATTCTTGGATGATTCCTAATCCTAACCGGCCACGGTAAATTCCCTGCTGCAATATTAGGACTGCCGGTCGACGGCGATTGACAAATTGGCGCCCTCAGCAGTCACATATATATACAATCCATTGATTCTATTTCTTTTTTTCCTACGCAGAGTCCTGGAACTGAAAGTGAGAGAGATGGAGAGAAGCGGCGATTACAGCGACGGTTGCCGGCGTCTGAGGGAGTTACTTCCACCGCAAGCCATCACAGAGGAGGGATTAGGGCAAGCGATGGATTTCTTGGACGAGGTCAAGTTCCGCTTACTCGGGAAACCTGGAAATTACCGGACCTTCTGCAGCGTGCTGGAGAAACTTGCCGATTCCCGGATCCGATTGATCGCCGCCGCCGGCGGCGGCGGCCCCGACTTGGCGGCGCTGCGTCCTGAAGATCTGCTCTGGGTTGTCAGGAAAATCCTCTACGGGCAAGAAGATCTGATCGAAAAGTTCAATTCCTATCTTCCTGTTGATCCGGTCTCAGTCCTAAAACCTGGAGAAGCCAAGGCTGCGCCAATCAGGCCTGCTATGGCAGAGGCGGCGCCGCGGGTACTCCCTACTGTACCAGCAGCAGCAGCCATGGCGGATTTAGGAACCAAGACTTCGAGTTCGCGCCAAAGAAGGCATCCTGCTACTAGTGGATTTGTGCCGGTGGTTGCTGGAGCAGAGCCGCCACAGCCTGCGATTCCTCTGTTTCCGAGTGGTGGCGGCGGCTCCGCTGGCAGAGAGGAAGAAACCTGTGACAGAAAGACTGATAATAATGGCACCAGGAAAGCAGATCGAGTTGTTGCAGAAGTAGATGGAAAGTTCAGGGACCAATTCGCAGGCGAGAAGAGCCGATGTCTGGGTTGGATTCAGAAAATGCGGAGGAAATCACCCTCCTCTTCAGAGATTTACCAGCAGCATCTGCCGAGCTTGTACCGCTTCAGTCTCGGCAAGACCCCTGCTGAACTGGCGCCAGAAGTGGAGAAGAGACGGCGACCTGACGAAGCAGAACAGAGATGCAGCAGGACCAGGAGGATTTCTGCTGCTGCTGCCACCACCCCGGTGAAGGAGAAATTCCAAGCTGCCTTGCTGCTGCAGCGTCCACCGACGGCTGAGGCAGCGGAGAAACGAGAGGTTAAAAGGCGGCGGCTTTGCGACGGTCAGAAGATGGAAACAGTTTTGCCGGTAAGGGAGGTGGAGGAAGATGCGGACGAGCTGAAGGAGCGCCTCCTGTCCGTGGCTCGTTACATCGAGGAGCGAATGAACAGAACAGACAGAGGCGATGGTGGTGGCGAGGACGAAGAGATTGGAGGGGGGAAGGGTCGGATCCGATTCCTGAGATGCGTGGAAGCAATGTACGGTGATCAAGGGCGGGAAATGGTGACGATGGTCGAAGCAGAGCCGGAGAAGCTGCTGCCTGTGATGCGGAGAAGGCTGCATCAGAAGATAGGGGAGCTGGAAATCGCCAGCCAGAAGCAGGAGGACTACTACCCAATGGCCACAAGATGAATTCTCAGCTGGGGATTCAAACCAAACCCTAGTTTTAGTGCTTTGTTTTATGAATTATTGTTAATGGTATCATGAACTCGAAATGTAAATCAAAATTTACGAGATAGTGTGGTATTTTGCGGTTTAACAAAAATCAATTAACCAAACCACATGTGTTTCGCGGATTAACTGCGATTTGCGGATTAACTGCAAATCGAACTTTCACTATTACAAGGGGTAAGCAATGAATCTCACACTTTCGTTTCCCTATTAATGAGACAAAAAAGGGTTCCTAGTTCCTACCTAAGGAAGCAAAGAGAATAAAAGACATTTAAGTAGAATTCCTATGGGTTATGGGGAGAGGTGCTGCAACAGAAGAAGAGAAACCAAAACATTGCACCTGTGTAAGAATACAAGTACACTTTACAGAGAGACAAGTTGCAAACATTTTTTTACGGAAGGTGCCTCTGAATCACGATTCTAAAAACTCGGCAGATTGAACTGTCCTCACAAGCTCCTTCAAATTAGCTAATACATGGCGCGGCCCTAAACTCTTGACACCAATGTAATTCAACAGCTGCTCCAAATCCTACAAACATCACCAAGGCATTGTGTAGTAGGATTAAGAACCAAGAGACCGGCTTTTAGAAACACACAGAAACATGTCGACACGGGCATTAGCGCCTCACCGATGTAAACAAGGAAAGAAATCATTTGTTCATTCAAGCATGGTCATTTGATAACAACAGTTGTAATTGGTATTACAACAAGAGACCCCATCCTTCGAAAGCATGCGAAAAAGTTGTAAAGTTAAAACTAAGGATGAAAATTGGCACTCAGGAAGTTCAGGCGAACTAATTAGGGTTTCAAATTTCAAGAAAAACGGACAAGGGGTTCCATTGGAAACATAGGAAACAAACCGGAGAATAACACACCCATGACAGTAGAAATATGAGTGACTAACCTTGTTCAACAGGAATACCGCATAAGCTGCTCGTGTTGTATCTTGACCATCTAGAAAGAGGGGGAATTCAACAGGCTTCACAGTGGATTGAGTTGTTGACTTTGAAGACTCCACTGATGATGATATGGGCTCTATCGAAGGTGCAGGATCAATTATATAAGAATGTGAACCACCCAAGCGCACAGGATAACGGATGGGAACTTTTAAGTAAGAGGATACAAGTGACACAGCCTGCATAAAACCCAAAACAATAAAGAAGCTTTCTGAATGACAGTCTAATCAACAAAAATTAAGCGATTAAATTCACAGTAAATAACTAAAAACATGGCACAGTCAAAGTAATGCCTTCATTAGGCCATGGCACAGTAGAAGTAACTCTCACTGGCATATCTAGTACAAAATGTTTTCAGGATATCTTTCATGTATCAATTCTAACATGATTCAGTAAGATTAATGTCAGATACAGACAAAGCAAATTTTAAACATGTCGCAGAAAATGAAAATATCAAGGACAATGCCATGTCAGTAAGTTGAGCAGAGAGATAGAAGTATAGAACACACATGAGCAACATATCCTAGGGCTGTTGCAGACCTCTGCACCTCCTTCTTATTGGAGAAAAAACTCATCTTTGTGAAAGGAAGCATAGTCAAATGCAGACCTAAAATCGTCAAGGATCCTGGGTTAACAAGTTTAGATCCAGCACTGTTCCCTGAGAAAAGCACAGAAAAGGTAACTAGTTGAGATACAACTAATGGTCATCTCCACAACTAAGACTTGCATTAAACAACCAAACTAGGAAACAGTCACTGTCATCAATACATATTCAAAAGCTACATTTGTGTTGTTCTTTTCCATCTTTTGGTGTAACTATCTTGAATTAGCGGCAAGAAATCAGTTCATGGTCCTTATCAGAAGGCACTTGTACTGAAGATTGTAATCAGAGCCATGCAGATCTTGCATGATCACATACTAAGAACTTGCAGAATAATCTTTTACAGCTAATTCAACGAAGAGGAAGAGGAAGAGGAAGGGAAAATGAGGTTTAGTCACCATTGGATTGGCAAGCTTTCAACAATAAACTTAAATCACAGAGAGTCAAGAAACCTACAAATGACATTTAAGAACAGATAAAGTGCCAAACGCCTGAACTGATACAGGGCCAAGCAAGGTCAGCAATGAATTTCCTAGCCCATGATCCCTCAACATTTTGGCTACACACTCAGTATGATTTTCTTTTTCTTTCAAGATGTACCACTTTAGTTAAAAGTTTAGTAGAAATTCCTCATCGCAGTACCTGATTTACTAGTACTAGGCAGTGATTCAAGTTCTTGATCCTGTGAAGGTCCTGGTGACATCTTCACAGAATAAAGCAACGACACCTGTGATATCATAAACTGTTGCCTCAACCTGAGCATCTTCTGCAAGTTTCTGAGGCGAAGAAATCCACTTTCTCCAGCAAGTACCCTATTTGATTCCTGTAGTAAGAGGTATGAATTATTCCTTGTATATACATCATCATATATATACTTGAAATTGACAGCAACGAAGCTTAGGAAGAATCAGGTGAAATGAGAAAGAAACATCTTCATATTGATATATGGAGCTATCATATGTACACAAGCATCTTCATATTGACATAAGAAGTAGTACACAATAAAAAAAAATATTCAAGTGTGAGTCAAACTCATGACAAAAAAAGATTTGGTGAAATGCAAAAAGAGCGGTATGGATTGCCAAAGCATATTATTTTTACCAGGAACAATTAGTCTTCTGCCCAAGATTACGAGCATACAACCAAATGGTAAGCTATCAAACTGCAATACCCTTATGACCTAAAACCATTTTCAACTTTAGAGATATAACTCCATTTGCTTCTCATGAACTATACCAACATGTCCTAAAGCAGAGTAACTTGTTTCTGTAATTGACTAGAAAAAAGGATGTGTCTTCTAGCCATCTCATGAGGATACAGTTATACCAGATTAAGTACAGACGTTATGTGGACAAGATGTAGTTGCAGTCATCAGCATGGTAATCCACACGGATGAACCTTATGGAGCATTATGCAAGAGCCTCATATTTCGGATAGAGAAGCAGAGTAGTTCCTAAAAACGGAAACTTAGTAATTCCAGCAGTTGGCCTTTCAGATTATTATTAACACAAATAGAGTAGTCATATGACTTGAACTTTCTAGACTTAACACAAATATTACTCATCATTATCATTCAAGTAGATGTTAGCACCCTCCTTTCAGCATGTTTTGTAGTTACAAATTGAAAGAACTACCAGTAATCTAAAGTTTTTATAGCACTGGAACGTGATAATATCAGTTGCTCCTTCAAGGACTGGCCAACTCAAGTCTTATCGTCAGTCTTCACAACTATTGATCAAACGACCTGTTCTTAAGACAGTCTAATTTGCTTACTAATAGCCGAACTATGTTGGTCGCAGGACACACTGTGGTACACAGAGATTTACAAGAGCCAAATTCTATCAATGTGAGATGTTCTCAATTGATTTTTCTGAAAAAAACACAGCAGCAAGGCAGCAATGGAAAGAGCTTTCAAATCCACGTAAGGCATCTGATCTGATTAAGTATTCTGCAGAAATTACCTCCATTTTCTTGTTAGCCACAGAAAGAGCAGTTCCTGCAACCAAAAGCGATCGAACTTCTGCACCAAGCCTTTCTTCTTCCTTCTTAGCTTTCTCTCCTGCTCCCTGCAACTGGTCTGATAAGCTTTCCATCATCTTTTTCCTAGCGTCAACCCTCTCCCGTATCTCTTCAAGCACATTCAATCGATCTAATGACTCAGCTTCAACCTGCCAACCATTTCACCGCCCGCTAATCCGCGGGATAATCAATTAAGGCCCAAGAAATGGCACGGTGGTAACATAACAGATGGTAATTCTATACCAGATTTGCTGAGAACTTAGGTAGCACTAACTAAATGTATCCTCTCAAGATAATCAAAGCAACGAACCTGAAACCTCAACTATGTCTCAGCAAACTGCATAGGACTAAAATCTAAATACTTCAACATTAAGAACTATCTATCGCAAGGTCCTACCTGATTGAGTGAATGAAGCTTCCCTTCCAGAGCTTCCTTCTTCTCTCTAGCTTCCTTAAGAGCAGACGAAAGGCTCCACAATCGCGCGACTTCCTGCTCGTAATCCTCCCATTCGATCAATTTCACACTCACCAATTCGCTGCTGCTTTTCTTCTTCTCCTTCGTCGTTGTTGGCTCTGAAGAGAGACTGTGGCGGCGTTCCATCAATAACTCGAAGAAAATATGTGATTCTCGCGTTCAAGAAGAGGTCATGGTCTGACCTCACCATAGCGAGCGATCTTCAACAATCCGAGATCATCCCGAGCTAGCTTCTCCGCAACAAATTCCCGAGCTAGGGTTTGAGGAAGCCCCTGGATATTTCCTCGTTACGATTCGAAACGGTTTCTCGAGAAACAAACAGAGAATAGGAAAGTGAAAATGTGAAATGGCCTCTTTTTCTCCTTTCTGTGTCAGAACTCAGAATCTTCAGAGACTTCAGATCGAGGGAGAAAAAATGGCGAGATGGTTTGCACTGTGCAAACTGGAGCGAAATCGTTGCCTGCAGTCAGATAGATCCAATCGAAGGCCCACACCTCAGTGGCCGGTTTATAGTTGGACCGAAAATAGTGGGCTTAGCTTACTGGGCCCAATAACAAATTTAATTCCCTTTTCGATTTTATCACTAAACCGTTTCCTCTCCAACAAGTAAAGAGTGATGATGGAACTTATAAAACAACGATCCGAATTCAGCCGACCATAGAACCCGAATTCTCTATCCTCCGCCCGGAGTCGGCCGCGTTTGTTCGTCGCCGACAAAGTTTAGAAGTTCCCCGGGAGCTGCTGCTCCTGTTGATTGGCGGATCGATCAATGGCGGGAGTTTCCTTGAAGTGCGGGGATTGCGGCGCCCTGTTGAAGTCCGTAGAGGAGGCTCAGGAGCACGCCGAGCTGACATCGCACTCCAATTTCTCCGAGTCGACGGAGGCCGTTCTTAACCTCGTCTGCTCTGCTTGTGGAAAGCCCTGCCGATCGAAAACAGTAGGGTTTCCATTGATTTGCCTGTGTCAAGTTTTTGGATCTTGATTCGAGTTTGCATCGCCTCTGAAGATTTGGGGTTTAATAAGGAGTCCAGTTACGGTTGCAAATTTGAATTGGGAAATTTTTGGGCGAGATTGAAACGTATAGTGCTGGTTAAAAAGGATCCGTGGGTTAATCTCAACATCTCGAAACCGAACTCCAGTTCTTAGAATGTCGTAGATATTCTGGATAGGAAATTTTTAAGCTTTTATGTCAAAAGGTTTAGTCTGTCTTGGTTTATATTAGCGTTTATGAATTTTAATACATTGAACTTGCATTGACTTGTAAACCTTACTAGACTTGGGTTTATCTTATAGCAGATCTTTGTGCAAATGGAATGGAATTCTCTTGTGGTATGATTATTAAGCTGATCCTGTTTCTTCTTTTACCCCTTGAAGGAAACTGATTTGCACACAAAGAGGACTGGTCATACAGAGTTTGTGGACAAAACTGAGGAGGCTACAAAGCCTATAAATTTAGAAGCACCAAAGGTTCCAATGGATGTGGATGAGCCTACTAGCAGTGGCGGACAACCTGAAGGTAGTGCTGTTAGTATTTCCGTTTTTTTTCTTCTCCCCATTCATTCCTCACGCTTGTGGTACAGATATGTGGTAGGTGCCATATTTGTGAGAGGCATTTGCAAGTTCGATCCAGTGTTTTGGTAAATCAATGTTTGCAATCATGCGGGTCTTTGGTTCTGGTCTTTGATCTGTTTGGCTTTAAGTTCTCTTTTTTCGGTCACTGAACTAGTCAATACTCAACAACCAGTAGCGAGCGACTTAATAACACATTACAGACTTGTTATGTTCGCGTGAGAGTGAAATTACATTAGACCAGCGCCTTCTAATCATACTTGTTTCCATTGAACTTTGTTGTGAAGAAATGGTTGCTCCAGAAGTTGATGCAAAGCTTCTTGAAGAACTGGAAGGAATGGGTTTCCCAAAGGCACGGGCAACCAGAGCACTTCATTTTTCAGGTGAGGACATTGCAAACCATATATCCATTTCATGCATTTTGTTATGATGTTGAAAGGGAATAATTGTACTATAGATCTTGCTAGACTTCTGTAACTTCTTTTATGTATTCTGTTAAATGAAATATGTATATTGAAGACTGCTGCTGGAACATGGCAATTAGTAGACTGTTGCTTCCAAATCATGAAATACAGGTTGCCTATAGACTGTGAGAAAAAAAGGTTCGGACATCTACTTGGATTGCTGTATTCGACTATTGGGGATGATAAATCTTCGGTTTGCTCTTGGCACACTTGATTGTTCTTTCTTGGGTCCTATTGAGAAGGACAAATGATTATCTAGCTTTTCAGCAATTCTATTTTCCTTCAAAAGCATTGATACCTTAATGAAATTCAATATGAAAGCTTCTGCGGTTACTAAATTGTTATGATGGCTTTGTCTTCAGGTAATACCAGTCTTGAAGCTGCTGTGAATTGGGTAGTTGAACATGGGAAAGACCCGGATGTAGATGAAATGCCCCTGGTAGGAAATTGTTAGTCTTTTTCTCATAATTAAATATGACTTACGCCATTATTGTTTCATCTCTGCCCTTCTCTTCTTATTGCTCTCTCGTTGTCAGAGCTTCGCGTCATTGTACAGGCAAGAAGTCCTATTCTCATTGAATAATCTTTCCCCCCTTGTCCTCAGGTACCAGCCAACACCAAACTTGAGGCTCCAAAGCCTGCTCTTACACCAGAAGAAGTGAAACAAAAAGCAGCTGAACTGAGGTAGGATTTTGTGAGCCTGAAATCAGGACCTTTGTGGCAGTATCTTTTCCAGTTCAGTCCTTTGTTTCTGTGGTCATTCTCCTTTTGGATTGAATCACTTCGCATGGCTTATATATGGTTTCTTCTCCACAATCTTAAGGGAGCGTGCTCGTAAGAAGAAAGAGGAGGAAGAGAGGAGAATGGAAAGAGAAAGAGAGAAGGTATGGCTGGACCTTACTAAGAATCGTCTCTTATCTGTATAAATTTCTGATTTCAGCATTTATGTTTATTTTTGTGCATATCCATCGGTTGAGCTATGTAGCTAGCAAGCACTATTTGTTTCATGAATGCTTCCTTTTTGCTTTGTCACAACGACTTTGTTATATTACCTGTGCTCAACTTTTATAATACACATTGTTTCCTCCTGCTTTCAACATTCCTTTGAAATTCGTGCATGCAATCACAAACTGCTGCATGGGGAATGTGACACTTGTAAAGTAGTTATGGCTTTTCTTTTTCTTGTTTTCTGAGGGCATCATATGCACAGGTGAATTTGCTTGCACTCCCATGAAGTCATAAATTACAAGATAATATCTGTCATTTTGGTTTCTTTCCTCTTTCCTTAATTTGCTACAATATTTCTTCATCGAATTTTATATCAGAATCTGCTGGGGATGCATTTTGTTTTATCCAATATTTCAACATAATTTATTTACTATCCTATCTATACCTGATGGACATGAATCTGTCTTTCTTAGGAAAGGATCCGAGTTGGCAAGGAGCTCCTGGAGGCCAAACGAATTGAAGAAGATAATGAAAGAAAACGGTAGCTTCTTGCATTTTGTTTCCTGTTCATTAATTGTCCTCTTAGTGTAGTACCTAGTACTGCTTCTTTCCCTATCCATCTTAATATAAGCAGCACATTTCCCTCTTTTCCAGTATAATGGCCCTACGGAAGGCTGAGAAAGAAGAAGAGAGGCGAGCCAGGGAAAAGATTCGTCAGAAGCTGGAGGAAGACAAGGTTACTGCTGCTTTTTTGAATCATTCCCTTTGCTTGACTGCTTTTTATTTTATACTTATTGTCATCTTGGTTGGTAAGATAACCACCTAGACTGTGTGCAACTTCCTTCTTACTTTGTCATGTTCATTGTTTTTCCTTACAAAGGCGGAAAGAAGAAGGAAGCTTGGGTTGCCCCCAGAAGATCCTGCTACTTCAAAACCTGCAGCACCTGCGCCTGTTGAGGAAAAAAAGGTACAAGGAATGCCTCTCTTTTTTTTTTTTTTTTTGGGTACTTGGTAGATTTTTTGTTTTCTTCTATATTATGACTTCATAAATGTTTGCAGAGCTCATTGCCTATCAGGCCAGCCACAAAAGCAGAACAAATGAGGGAATGTCTGAGATCTCTTAAGCAAGCTCATAAGGTAAAATTACTTCATGATACCCATGTTTTCTATCTTTACTCTGCCTACTTATCATGATAATTTCATCGATTCAAGCTATAGGTCTCCTGCAAATTTTTGTATTTCTTCGAATTTTTAATGACCAGATATATGTCTCTGCTAGGCTAATTGGTTTCTTTTCTATTTTCATCAACTTTCGGGAGTTGACTATAGTTCTGCTTACAGTTTGATGATCATTATCTCTTAAAGTTTTGTATCTGCATCGAAGCTACTGATCGATGTAATATGTGGTCTCTAACTTCACTTGTTGGTTTCTGTAGGATGATGATGCTAAAGTGAAGAGAGCTTTCCAAACTCTATTAACTTACATAGGAAATGTGGCCAAAACCCCAAGTGAGGAGAAGTTCAGAAAAATTAGACTCAGTAACCAAACTTTCCAGGTATGGGATGTCGTCTTATTTCATATGTTAATTGCAGATGTCGATAACAATCCTTATTCCATCCTTATTCCGGATGTCAAAGTGAAACTTTTCTATTGATCAATGAATCAACCGGAACAGTGGGGGAATAGTTATATATCAAGCCGACTTCCTGCGCTTTCGAATTCTAATCGCTGCTTGCTTGAGTGGCCTAAGTGCTGATCAATCGTTCATTGCATCACAACAGGATAGAGTTGGTGCCCTGGAAGGGGGGATCCGATTCTTGGAGCTGTGCGGGTTTGAGAAAATCGAAGCGGGTGAGTTCCTTTTCCTGGCCCGGGAGAAGGTAGAGATGTCCGTGCTGAACTCAGCGGGGTCAGAGTTGAACTCCGCCATAAACAACCCCTTCTTTGGAGTTCTTTAGAATGTAATCTGTTTGCTTGAACAAGAAATCAGCTCAAGATTGTTGCTCCTTGTCCCATATGCTTATTTCTGTTGGATGAAAATGTTAACAGCAGCCATCCTTTTGAGCTTTTGAGTTGCACCAAATTTGCTCCATTGCTGGATCATTTTGGAACATAAAACATAGTTCCTCCAAAACTCAATGGTTGTGAATCGTTTGCATTTGATTCAATATCTAACAAAATAGAAAATTATAACCTGGGGTGTATGATTAGAGCATTTTTTGTGTCTGATTAGAGGAATTGTTGAGTAATTTTTTTTATGTTTATGGGCATGGTGTAACTTGTGTTGAACAGGAGGTTACTAAACTTTTTTTGGGAGTGAAGAGATTACTGAACTGTATATAGTTTATAGTAGCCAGAAAGTTGAAGCCGTTGTTTGATTGAAAAAGTAGTGGAGATCGTTTGGATTTTGTATGAGGATGTTTGATGAGGGATTTCATCCGAATCTTTTGTTATATCGGTTTTTCTCAATTCCTTCGTTTGGGAAGGAAACAAAAAATGAGTGATTTGAAACATATGAGATTTGGAAAACCTTTATTCGCATGATTTTAAAATTTCTGGTTTTTCTTTTCTTCTTCCCTCTCTAGCCCTTTTCATTCCTAAATTTTTTTTCCTCGGTTTGTCTATCGAGTTTAGCGTTCGCCGTTCGGGTTTCTCATTAAGGGAAATGTGAGGAGGTTAGGAGGAGGAGGCGATGTTGAGTTGAGAGAGAGAGGTCTGTGATTTGTGAATTGTGATTTGAGGAGGGAGGAGGAAGACGGTGTTGGGGGTTGGAGTGTGGCGAGGCAATTACTTGTTGTGCACCGTTGAATAATCGGTTAATAATTGAAAATCGACCGGTTAGGCTACTGCCACTAATCTTCCAACCAACACTGATAATCGATATATGTCTGACGATTATCAACTATTTAGTCAATCGTTAATCACACTGAAAAAGTTGGCCAATCGACTAACGAATAACCCTTTAGGTCTAAAATAGGATGCATAACCCTTAATTGTATACTTACATAACCAGATATGAACTCGTGGTTTTAAATAGGTCCAGGTCAAAAGGTGACATTAAAGAGTTTTTTTTTATTTTATTCGATTTTTTTTTATGTTCACAAATTTATGCATAGACTAACCCTCCTAATGCGCTACTAAGGTTGTCAACCCGCAGGTCTACCAACCTGTTGACCCTGACCTGGTAAAGAAAACGTGTCACACAAAATCGGTCTTACCTTTGGTTTGTGAAATGGCCTCTTTTTTTTCGATTTTTATCTTCGCCTAACCCTATGTTTGGAATTCTAATTTGAAATCTTGAATATTGATTTTACATAAGTATGTGTATGAATTTTCACCATACATTGGATCCAAATACTACATGTTATTTTGATGAAATGTTATACGTTATTAATCATATTTTAGATGAAATTTGATATAATTTAGAAATGTATGAACGATATAATAATTTTTTCATGTTCCGAATTAAATCAGACTAAAGTGGTCAGACCATTAACCCTCAACTCACTTGTTGACGGTGCCAACGGGCTAACCCAAAGTATACAGAAGTATCGGGCCGACGGGCTAAACGAGGTTGTTAAGCACGTAAACAGGAAACTTGTCGCGCTATGGGCGTGCCTTGAGATCCACTAAATGACCGCCTTGTCACTTTACTCCCACCTTTTCGACTGACGCCATCTCCCTTCCGCTGAACAGAAGAAGAAGAAGCAGCAGCAGCAGAAGCAGAACCAAACTGAAAAAAAATCCAGCACTTCCACGAGTCAGCTGAGTCATCAGCTCTCCTCCTCGGCCCATCCAACGCTTCACCCCGCCGGACAAGACTCGCCGCCTCTTGCGATGGTGAAGAAGAACGTGCCGGATTGGCTTAATAGCTCTCTCTGGACCACTGCGCCTTCCTCTCCTTCCCCTTCTTCCTCCGACGATCCCTCCAAGCCGGCAATTTCCCCGAGTAAGACGACGGGTGAGCCTAATTTCGAGCCTCCGATTCCCGTCCGGCCTCCGACGGTTACGAGAGAGGAACAACCGCCGCCACCGCCTCCTTCCCTGTCGCAGAAACCGGAGATCAAAGATAAGAATTCTCGGACTAGTATTACCAGTAATGCTAATAGCAGTAGCAGTAGCAGCATTGACAAGGATGAAGATCGCGATGGCGAGAATGGCGCCTCTCCTGCTGCTGGCCCTTCCGCGGAGGATATTACGAAGCAGGCTCAGTTGTTGACCGAGGTGAGTGAGAGATTAGGAGATTATTGAATTGTTTGCTTGTTATGTGGTTGATTGAACTGTGAATCATGTGTGAAATGCAGTTGTCGAAGAAGGTAGTAAATGTGAAAGAATTGAGGAAGATTGCTTCGCAGGGCTTGCCTGATGGCGCTGGCATCCGTTCTACAGTTTGGAAGGTAACTGTTTAGGGTTTGACTGATTTTTGTGCTGATAAAATGAAGTTTTGGTTTGATGCTGGAATGACAACTGCGCCATTACTCTGAGAAACTAGGAGATACAGACTATTGTTGTTCTCGGTTTTGAAGTAGTTTCTCCAATGCACAAACTTATTCTTTGGTATTGTTTTACATGTGAGGTGTGAATCTAGAAGTTGGATGAACTCCCAATTCAAGTAGAATTTATTGATCTATAGAAAGAAACTATCTTTTTGTGCAGCTTTTGTTGGGATATTTGTCTCCTGAGCGTTCACAGTGGTCATCTGAATTGGCTAAGAAGAGGTCTCAATACAAAATTTTCAAAGACGAGCTTCTCATGAATCCTGTAAGTTCTGCTATTCCCGATGTGATTTATGCTGCACTTCAGCATATAATAAAGCCATGCTGCACTATAGTATGTAATAAGGTCATGCTGCACTATAGTATGTAATAAGGTCATGCTGCATTAGTCTTCATATTTAAGCCAAAATGCATATTCGCATTGCTGAACTTCTTTGTGCCTAGTTAGTCAGAAATCACAAGGAAGTTGGAGAAGTCTACCCTTGATGACGAGCCAAAGTCTGAAAGTCGTTGTGTGCTATCAAGATCAGAGATAACTCATGATGAACATCCTTTGAGCCTTGGGAAAACCAGCGTTTGGAATCAGTTCTTCCAGGTACAAGGATGCCTGGTCATTGTTGCTGTTTGAATTAGTGAAGATGGATCTTTTTGGACATGAGGCGACTTTAGTGTGGCTTCAGTCTTTTATATTCTCTTCAAATTTGAATTTTGTAGGACTCTGAGATTATAGAGCAGATTGACCGAGATGTGAAACGGACTCATCCTGATTTGCACTTCTTCTGTGGAGATTCATCTTTCGCAAATTCTAATCAGGTCCAGAGCTGCATTCTTGGTGCACAATTATTTTATTTGATAGTGTAGTGTGTCTGACATGTCATGTTCCCTTTTCTTTCTTTCAGGAAGCTTTGAAAAGCATATTAGTTGTGTTTGCCAAACTAAATCCTGGCATCAGATATGTTCAGGGGATGAATGAGATTTTGGCACCTTTATACTATGTATTCAAAAGTGATCCTGATGAGGACATGGCCGTAAGTAAATTGTTATATTTTCCAGCTTTTCACTCTGGATTGTTCTTAAGTTGGCGTTTTATGGTCTTTCTCATCTTTTGCATGGTTGGTTTATTACTCCAAAAGGATTTGTTATTAAAAGTTTCAAAAGATTTGAAGTTGTTGATGCCTTTAATCTACAGCCTAGAGTAGTTTACAATGTCGCCAGTGATCCATGGCAGAGCAACATCCTAGAACAAGCTCCTCTGATTTACAAAGCAATGGACTGATTGTTCTGCTGGCTGACTTTGTGCAGGCTTGTGCTGAAGCAGACACATTCTTTTGTTTCGTTGAGTTATTAAGTGGATTCCGTGACAATTTCTGCCAGCAACTGGACAATAGTGTTGTGGGAATCCGTTCAACAATTACAAAGCTATCCCAGCTTTTGAAAGAACACGATGAAGAATTATGGCGTCACCTCGAGATCACAGCCAAGGTAAGAGATGGTTCAAGTGTAGGTTTAGATTAGTGCATAACATGGGGAGGTTATCAGTTTCTTCATATAAGAGGATTCAGACTCGAGAAATAATGACACTTGTGTGATGCAGTTTAACCAGTCATTTAAAATGTGTTATCGGCTGAGATACCTAATCATATCGACACTGGCTGTTCTTCTCTGAGCATAGAGCTTCTTGTTGTTGGCGATTGAACAGGTGAACCCGCAGTTTTATGCATTTCGGTGGATCACCCTCCTGTTGACACAGGAATTCAACTTTGCGGACAGTCTTCATATCTGGGACACCCTTCTAAGTGATCCCGAAGGCCCTCAGGTAAAACTTTAACTTCCACCGTTCTCTCTACACTGTCATTGTAATAACACCTATTACTCTCTTTCCTTTATCCCCTTGGGTATCTGAATCCAAACATCCCAAAAACTAACAAGCACTGTGGCGGGAGATTTGCAGGAGACTCTACTTCGGATATGCTGTGCAATGCTAATTCTGATCAGAAGGCGGCTCCTAGCTGGGGATTTCACCACCATTCTCAAGCTTCTGCAAAACTACCCGCCCACAAACATCAGACATTTGCTTTATGTTGCAAACAAATTGCGTCATGTACCCACTTGCTAATTGCCCCCAGTATGTTGTCAATCAGTTTCGCTTTCGTTAGTGTTTTGCTTCCTCTCCTTGGTGGGGTCTCGATGTAAATTATCGACTAACTGACACTCAAGTGTGTTAGCGAGATTTTTAGATCCTTGTTAACATCCCCTGTTGCTTCTTTCGTTGGTCACTGAAATGTTGTGTATTTATCTTTTCATCTGTAGCTAAACGCCTCTAGATGTTTGTTTTGTGTGATGGAATAGCTTTTGTGCTGGCGGTGTCAATTTCGCATTGTGTTTCCATTCACAATAGATGGAGCAGAGGGATCGATTTTTCGGCATATCGGATACAAGTTACAAGCACTAGCAAGACTCTTCATATGAGAATGAAATCTGGAAAGAATGGCATTCACTATTATATCCCATTAACAAACAAATCTATCAAACGCTTCTGTAGATAGTTCACTACTATTTCCCATCTAACTATCGACCAGTAGGGTGCTTGATGACCTTTGGAGGATGTTTTATCCTCGAGCTGCTGGACCAGTGTTACGACGAAATCAGAGACGTGAAACTGACTTCCTGAAAATAATCAGAAGGGCAGACTTGACAACTTCGAAGTGGTAGCTGCGACGCCTGTACAGCGTAGTAAAGACTACAGCCTGAGATCAATAGGATACCTGAGGCAAAAATGTAGTATGATGTGGTTTGGGATTGTGCTCCCAAATTGATGAGTAGCAGTCATTCTAAGAGAGTTGCAGTTAACAAGCTAGCTAGAG